ACTAAGAAAATGCTCCTTAAGGCTTGCCCACATCCCATCTAGTGGGGCATTTCCTCAGTGGAGGTTCCCTCTTCCCAGATACTCTGGTTTGTGTCAATTTGACATGAAGCTATCTGGCATAGCCTCTAAGTCTGTTGCAGTTCTTTGTGTATATGATTTTTTTTTTTTTTTTGAGGCAGGGACTCATGTAACTGAGTATGACTTTGACCTCCCAGGCTCTGTGTGCTGGAATTATAGGAGTGTATCAACACACCCATGGCCTCAAGCATGCTAGGCAAGCACAGTACTGTCTGAGCCGTATCCCCAGCCCTGTGTGACACAGAGTGGGTCCCTTTAACAAGGACTCATGGGTTAAAAAAACTCAAGGGTCTAGGGAGATGTCTCTGGTTAAGAGCATGTATTGTTCTTGCAGAGGAGCTGAGCTTGGTTTCAGGTACCCCTATCAGGTGACTCAGCTGTCTGTGACTTCAACTACAGGGCATCCAACACCCTCCTTTAGCATCATCAGGCAACTGTACTCACATGTACACATATCTCCCCCCTCCAATTAAAATAAATCTTAAAAACATGCACTCAAAGGGATAGTTTGTTAGAGTCAGTAAGAAAAGAACAGGGCAGGCAAGCTGGAGATCTCAGCATTGCCAGGAGAAAGGAGATATGAAGAAGACAAAGAGGAAAAAGTCGTGTCCTTAACTAGAGCAAGAGGGGAAAAAAGACACCTTGGAGGACAGGTGGACACACCAGAGGGGAGGAAGGGCAGGTCCAGCCGGTCTCTTCTTGGAGCTGAGCAGGATGGTGAGTGTCAAGGACTCAGACCCTCCCCCCATTAGTTACCGGGGAGAAAAAACACATACTGAGTCTGTCAAAGCAGGATCTCGATTTATTCCAACACACAGGAACTTATATAGGACTGAGGTAGGGATGGGAATCTTGGCATAGGGTAAGGTGATGTGAGGAGTTAAGGGCCAATAGTATTCCACCAAGCAGGCAGGTAGCTAGGCAGGGGGCAATCTTGCATCAGGTCTGGCTGAGTCACCCCCATGTGGAGGTTACAGGTTAGAGACAGGTCATTAAACTCTAGCCAGGCTCAGGAGCCTATACTGAGCCTCGCATGGGAGCCTTTCTTAGGCCCAACACCAGAGAACTGGGGTTTTTAAAACCATGGCACCAAACTGTATTCTCAAAGCCAGGAGTAGTCTGGGCACAGATCTATCTATCTATCTATCTATCTATCTATCTATCTATCTATCTATCTATCTATCTATCTATCTATCCATCCATCCATCCATCCATCCATCCATCCATCCATCCATCCATCTATCTATCTATGAGACAGTCTCACACTGTAGACCAGGCTGGCCTAGAACTCAGTGTTTAGTCCAAGTTGGCCTGGGATTTGTGGCCATCCTCCCGAGTGTTACAATTACAGATAAGAAACTCTACATTTGGATGGACATATTAATATTATTTGGTTTAGTTGTGTAGTCAGTCAATAGTTGCTCTAGGTGGTCTAGGACTCAGTGTGTCTAAGACTAGAAAGAATAATAACTAATTGCATTTAGTGCTGTTTGTTTACTGTCTAGTTTTGTTAGCTCTGGACCGGAAGGAATAAACAGTTTTGAATGATGTCAATTTACCTTTAAAAATGATTGTAAAATTTGTTTTGGAGGCTGTCCTGGAACTCACTCTGTAGACCAGGCTGGTCTCGAACTCACAGAGATCCTCCTGCCTCTGCCTCCCGAGTGCTGGAATTAAAGGCATGCACCATCAACGCCTGGTGTGAGTTCTTATAGACAGAAATTTCTGTTCTGCCTGGTCTAGCAGCTGTTTAGTCCTAAGTAAACACATAGAGACTTAGATTAATTATAAACTGTTTGGCTGAAGACTCAGGCTTCTTATTGGCTAGCTGTCTCTTAATTATTAACCCATTTGTATTAATCTAAGTATTTCCACTTGGTCTTGGCTTACTGGAGAATGTCTAGGCATCTTACCTCCTGGTGTCTACATGGCAATTCTCTGGTTTCTCCTTGCTGCTTTCCTCTCCGCAAAATTCTCCTCGTCTGGTAGCCCGGCGTATACTCCGTGCCTGGCTACTGGCCAATCAGTGTTTATTCATCAACCAGTAAGAGAAACATATACAGAAGGATGTCCCCATCAAGTCCTTAGGAGGAGTCCACTTTGTTATTTGAGATGGTCTCATTGACTCTCAGCTTTTGTATCATTGTGGGGATCTGAACTCAGGTCCACATGCTTGTGTGGTTTTTATTGCTGTGAAGAGACACCATGACCTCCACAAATTAGATTAGCTCACTTACAGTTTCAGAGGTTTAGTCCATTATCATCATGGTGGGAAGCATGGTGGCATTCAGACAGGCATGGTGCTGGAGAGGTAGTTGAGAATCCTACATCTTACAGGCAACAGGAAGTTGACTGAGACACTGGGCTGTATCCTGAGCATAGGAAACCTCAAAACCTTCCCTCACTGTGATACACTTTCTCCAACAAGGCCATACCCACTGCAACAAAGCCACATCTCCAAATAGTGCCTCTCCTTATAAGATTATGGGGGGTGGTTACATCCGAACTACCACAGTGAAAAACACTTTACTGTCTGAGCCATCTTTCTCCCTAACTTCAATTTACTTGTTTGTAAAGGCTACTTTTGGACTAATTTGAAGCTCCTGTCATTGTCTCACTTAAAATTTTATCCTTCCTCCCTCCCTCCCTCCCTCCTCCCTCCCTCCCTCCCTCCCTCCCTCCCTCCCTCCCTCCCTCCCTCCTTCCTTCCTTCCCTCCCTCCCTCTGTTCTTCTTTCTTGGGATCGTGTTTCCCTGTATAGCTTTGGAACCTGTCCTGGAACTAGCTCTTGTAGACCATTCTGGCATTGAACTCAGAAAGATCTGCCTGTCTCTGCCTCCCAAGTGCTGGGACTAAAGGTGTGCGCCACCACTGCCCAGCTTACGTTTATTTCTTTATAGACCGTGTGTATGTGCACACTCTGGCAAGTATATAGAGACAGAGGAGAACTTTACGTTTATTTTTTACAGACCGTGTGTATGTGCACACTCTGGCAAGTATATAGAGACAGGGGAGAACTTGCCTAGTTGGTTCTGTCTGTCACTTGTGTACCTAACTCAGGTCAGGCTCTTCCCAGGATGCTCCCTTGTCCATTAAGCTGTCTTTCTAGACTCAAATCCTGTTCTGCGTTTTCAGAATGTAATTATGATGTGTGCTAGAATGGATTTCTTTGGATCTTTCATTTTTGGATTTTTTTGTACCTTCTTGATTCTGTAGGTTTACATTTGTTGTCAAAATTAGAAATTTTCCTCAAATTTCTTAGCCCTGATTTCTTTTTCATCTCTTTTTGTGACTCTTATGATTCATGTGGGCCACTAAATCCACCTTGTATAGGAAGATGACTTTGAACTCTTTTTAGTTTTTCCAAGCAAGGTTGGTTCTCTGTATAACAGCCCTGGCTGTTCTGGAACTCACTCATATCCTTCTGCTGTAGCCCTGTAATATCTGAAGTTCTGGTAGTTTTTTTTGTTTGTTTGTTTGTTTGTTTTTGTTCCCAATCTGCTTTCTCTCAGTTCAGATTAGTTGTTTTGATTTTTTTTCTATAGCTCTGTCTGGCTCATTTTCATTGATGTCTGCTATCTATTGATAAACCCGTAGGACATTTTTATTTGAGTTGTACATGCATCTGTACACACACACACACACACACACACACACACACATCTGTCTGTCTGTCTAGACTCCCTACTTTCTCCCCTCCCATCCACACTTGTCTTCCCCTTTCCCTAGAGACAGTCTTACTATGAAGTTAGTCCATGCTAGCCTCAAACCAGCATAGGTTGACCTCAAACATGCAATCCTTTTGCCTCTGTCTCTCAGGTGCAAATATTATAGTGATGAATCGCCATATTAGGCCCACTTACAGTTTTTATTCTCAAGGTTTCTAGTTTTTGATTTTTTTTCATGTCCTATATCTTTGTTTGCTAAGGTTGATTTTAAACATTTGTTACTTTTAGTTGCTTGCTGAAAAATTTTATCATGGCTACTTGCAAAACTTTTGTTAAATAATTCTAATATCTGTATTATTTTAATGTTAGCATCTGTTAACTGACACTCCCCCCTTGAAATCTTCCTGATTTTTAGTATGACTAGTGATTTTTTAAAAACTAATGATTTTGTATTTAAAATCGTCTATTCTAAATGTGTGGGTCTTCTAATACACGATTGAGATTTTACCTATAGCTTGAACCTTTTCTTTTTTTTGTTTCGTTTTTCAAGACAGGATTTTTCTTGTGTATCCCTAGCTGCCCTGGAACTTGATTTGTAGACTCAGGGATCCACCTGTCTCTGCCTCCTAAGTGCTGGAATTAAAGGTATACACCACTGCTCTTTTTTTTTTTTTTGGTGGAATTTTTGAGTCAGCGGTTCATAAGGGCCTCTAAATCCACCTTGTATAGGAAGATGACTTTGAACTCTTTTTGGTTTTGCCAGACAGGTTTGGTTCTCTGTATAACAGCCCTGGCTGTTCTGGAACTCACTCTGTAGATCAGGCTGGTCTCGAACTCAGAAATCTGCCTGTCTCTTCAGTGCTGGGATAAAGGGCGTGGGCTACCACTGACCAGCTGACTTTGAACTTTTGATTCTCCTCTCTCCAGTCTTCCGAGTGCTGGAATCACAGATGTTTGCCATGATGCCTAGCTTGAACATTTCTTTTTTTTTTTTAATTTTTAAATTATATTTATTTATTTGTGTGTATGGCTGTGGGATATCACAGTGCATGCGTGGAGGTTAGAGGTCACCTTATGAGTCAGTTCTCTCTTTACCATGTGTGTGCTAAGTATTGAATTAAAGTTATTGGAATTAGCAGTAAGTACTTTCACCTGCTTAACTGTGTGATGACCCCCTGGTGTGAGTATTGTTTTTAGCCAGACTCATGATGTTAATTGTTGAGGATATTGATGATATTTATTGTCTCCTGACAGAAATGACATCAGATGTACCATCGCTGGGTCCCACCATTGCTTCTGGAAACCCTGGACCTGGGATTCAAGGTGGAGGAGTTGTTGTGCAGAGGGCTATTAAGCGACGATCAGGGTAAGTTTGAATATATATCATCAGTGTCTGTCTTGTGAAACCAACTTGATTTAGTCTCCTCCTCCTTGCCTGTTCCTGACTCACTGTTTGATTATTACTACCCTGCTGTCACATAGCTAACTCTTAGTCCCTGGATTTTTCCTTATGTAGGCTTGCTATTTTATGTACATTTCTTTTAAAAGTGTCTAAATAATTTGAGTAGATACACAGCTATAAAGAAAAAGATGGAACTGTTGAGCCTATTGCCCATCACTTTGCTCTCATTTTACCTCTCAGAATGGTTTCACACATAGTGTTGGCTTTAATCACTACATTACTTTTTATATATGTCACATGAAAATTTCTAAGCAGTTGTAGTATGAATTCTAATAGGCCTCAATAATAAAAACCCGGAGTCTGATATGGGGGGGGGGAGGAGAGCTGAAGGTCAGAGAAGCAAAGCAGCCAGCCACTAGCTCCTACCTCTACCTCAGACCAAACGGGCAGCGCTGACTCCATGAGTCCTCAGACTGACTGCGTCAGACTGCACTGAGCTCCTGTCTCCTCCCACCTATATTCCTTTTTCCGTCTAGCCGTGTCCCTTCCTGTCTCCACTCCCTAGTGGGGGTCACCTTTATGTGCCACCACTGCCTGGCCTCTGGCGAATTAGTGACTTAGCTTGACACTCTGATCTCCAGGCAAGCTTTATTTGTTAGATCATAAACAAAACATCACCACAGCACATTAAAAATTTGTTTCCATTGATGTATTTTTGTTTCTTTGTTGTTTACTTGTTTTCAAGATAGGGTTTCTCTGCATAGCACTGAGTGTTCTGGAACTCACTCTGTAGACTAGGCTGGCCTTGAACTCAGAAATCCACCTACTTTTGCATCTAGAGTACTGGGATCAAATATGTGCACCATCACTGCCATGTGGTTTCTGAACTTTAAAGTTTCTCTTTTGATGTATCTTTATTGATAAGCAGGCAAAACAAACAAACAAACAAACAAAAACAAACAAACAAAAAACCAAAACACACAGACACCAAAAAAAGCGCAACCTGAAACAAAAGACCCTCTGGAAGATAAAGGACTGTGGCAAAGGCCAATGATTTCACTGTTGTTAAGAAAACTGTAGTCAGCTGGGGACAGTGTCACGCATACCTTTAACCCCAGCACTTGGGAGTCAGGGGCAGGCAGATCAAGATCTCTGTGACTGGAGGCCAGCCCTGTCTTAAACAACCCCACCCCCCAAAAGAAAACTGTTGGCTTTCCTTAAGATCTTGTGTTTGGTAATGTGAGGTCGTTGGCCGTTTACTTGATTTCTTACTGGCTAGCTCTGACTTAAGAATTAACCCATACTTACTAATATATATTTTTTTTTTTTTTTGGTTTTTCGAGACAGGGTTTCTCTGTGGCTTTGGAGGCTGTCCCAGAACTAGTTCTTGTAGACCAGGCTGGCCTCGAACTCACAGAGATCCGCCTGCCTCTGCCTCCGAGTGCTGGGATTAAAGGCATGCGCCACCAACGCCCGGCCTTACTAATATATATTTCTATGAGGACTTCTTTCCCAGGACAGCATCCTGACCTGTCCTTTTCTCCTGGGAGATCACATCACGACGACCTCTTCACTATTTTTCCCAGAATCCTCCTAGACTCCTAGTCCCACCTATCTTGCTTCCCTATTGACCAACAGTGCTTTATTTAATCAACCAATAAGACAACATATACACAGAAGGCCTTCCCTCATCAGTGTTTGCATTTTCAAAACCATTTTGTTAAACTTACTTCTAAGTTATTGATACTTTCTTTGGCTTGAAATGCATAGTCCTTTTAGTTCCAAAAGAATTAAGTACCAGATTTGAATGTGGCATTATTGAGTGATTGCTAATAGACTCTTAAGATAGATGAGGCACATCCCTTGTTTTCAAGTTTCTAATGTTCTGATAGTCATTGTGTGTGTGTGTGTGTGTGTGTGTGTGTGTGTGCCATGCAAGATAGAATGTGACAAAAATAAGTGGCTCATACCTGAAATCCTCATACTGAGTCAGGAGAATATAGAATATGAGGCTATCCTTAGTTACATAGTGATACTCTATCTCAAAACAAAACTAAAAATAAAGAAAGTTAACTAAAATACACAACAGAAAAAAGTTGATTTTTTTTTTTTTAACGAGACAGGGTTTCTCTGTATTGTTTTGGAGGCTGTCAGTCCAGCCCAGCCTCGAACTCACAGAGATCCACCTGCCTCTGCCTCCCGAGTGCTGGGATTAAAGGCATGCGCCACCAACGCCCAGCAGTTGATTTTTTTTTAAAGCATATAAACACTAATTTTGTAGGAAAGCAATTGGGAATAGTTCTTGAAAGAAGGTTGCTTTAGGGCAGTGGTTCTCAACCTTCCTAATGTTGTGACCTTTTAATACAGTTCCTCATGTTATAGTGACCCTCAACCATAACATTATTTTGTTGCTACTTAATAATTACAGTTTTGGTACTGCTATGAATTGTTATATAAATATATGATATAAAAAAGCAGTAGGATAGAATTGGAACTGTAGTATCGGTAAGATAGCCCAGTAGTTAGAGGCACTTACCTATGAACCTGGCACCTTTGCTTGATCCCCAGAACTCACATAAAGGTAGAAGGAGAAAACCAACTCCACCAAGTTGTCCTCTGACCTCTACATGAATGCCCATATACACATCATATACTCTAAACACAAAAGAATACTAAACTTATAAATAAAAGACATAAGGTTCCTTTAGAAGCCCCTGGGACAGTGGGCACTATTGAACCACTTTTTGCTACTAAATTGTGTGCCTGTGTGTGGGTGGGAGTGGGGGTGTTGGTGCTTAAACACAAGACCTTGTGCAGTCTTGAGCTAGTATTCTCCCACTGAGCTAGTTTGCCTAGCTGGTGCCTTTTGTTTTCTGTTTTCGTTTATGAAATAAGATCTAGTATATCCCAGGTCTGGGACTCATGATCTTCCCCTGAATGCTAGGATTACAGTTTTGTATCATCATTTTTTGCAAAAAAGTACATGAAGGTAAATCTTGAGTTCCAGAGAGCTGACTCAGTGGTTAAGAGTACACACTGCTCTTACAGAGAACCTGAGTTCAGTGCTAGCACCTCCTGTTGGTGGCTCACATCCATCTGTGACTGCTCCTTCTGGACTCTGTGGGCACTGCATTCAGTGTGCACGTGCTCCAAAGACACATAGTAAAACCTGCTTCAAAGTCATGAAAGATGATCTCTTCAATATTAAAACACATTTAAGGACATGTCTGTTTTTTATTTTGAAACAAAGTCTGTTAATTTGTTATTTTGATACAGCTTTCCTGTGGCCGCAGCTGGCCTGGGCTCCTGTTAGTGCTTGGAAACAAACATTCGACCACCATGCCTAATTTCAGACAGTCCTGCTGTGTAGCCATGCTGACCTGGAGATCACCATGTAGCCTAGGCTGGTCTCTCACACTCCATCTTCCTGCCTCTGCCTCCTGTGTTCCATGGGTACAATCAATTGCCACTACATCTGGGTGTGGTGGCCCACATCTGTAATCCCAGCTCTTGAGAGAGGCCAGCCTGGTGTACATAGTGGTTGCCAGGTCTGCCAGAGCAATGTAGAAAGATCCTCTCTCAAAAAGCCAAACCGCATTCTCACTTACATACATACATACATACATACATACATACATACATACATGCTTACATTTATCCTGTGTGTGTTTAGGTCAGAAAGGAACCTGTAGTTGTTATTTCTTCACTATTTGGGTCCCAAGGATCCAATCCAGTCCTGTAGGCTTGATGACAAGTTTCTTAATCTGCTGAGCTATCTCTCTGGCCTTTCATTTTATATTTGCAATTGTCTGGACTGAAAAATTCCCAAAGGGTAGTTTTATTTTTACCACATGTCCCATAATATCTGGTGTGCATGTGATCTTGCTTTCTTCTCTCTCTGGCAGGGTCTGGCTATGTAGCTTAAGCTGGCCTTGGCTTTACCATCCTTTTGCTTCTACTTGCTGAGTACCTTGAGTTAAAGGTATGTGCCACCAAGGCTGGCCACTTAGCACAGTGACTTGAATATAGTGTATATTTCATTTTTAGACTAACAACTTGTTGTGCCTTCTTTCCTTTATGTAATGACATTGCTTCAAAAGATGTTTCAGGAAACTGATAACAGGGCTTAGATTAGACCATAAAAATGAAAAATAGATCTTAGGACTTATTTTTTTCCAGGCAGAGTCTCATGTAGCCCAGGTTAACCTTGAACTCAACAGTATAGCCAAGGTTGACTTTGAGCCACCTCCCATGTGACTGGATTATAGGTGTGCGTCACCATGCCCAGTTTGATGCTATAAAGGAGACTTCATACACTCTACCAATTGAGCTGTGTTCTTAGTTGGTGAGAACTATTCATACTTCTCTTATATCTTCCTGGTTACAGTACTTGCCACGCATATGCAAATCCCAGCTGGAGGTATCAGTTGTGTTGCTGCTGCTGCTTTCCCCTGCTCCTTCCTTTTGCCTTTGAAACAGGCTCTAATTTGTGTAGCCAAGGCTAACCTAGAACTCACTATGTATCTGACCGTGGCTTTTCAATCCTCATCTCAGTTTCTGGATGGTGATTGTAGGTATGTGCTGGGTTTTTTTTGTTGTTGTTGTTGTTGTTCAGTTATGACACTATGAAAAACATGCATCATAGATTTGTTTTGCTTCTGTCCATTTCTTTCTATTTAGGTGAGCATATAGACATCTTGTATCAATATATTTTACTTTCTTAAGATTCTATATTATCAGTAGACTCAAAATGTTTTTTTTTTTTTTTGCCTTTCCCTAGGCTGGATTTTGATGATGAAGGAGAAGGGAACAGTAAATTTTTGAGGTAAGAGTTTTGATTTCTCTTTTTGTTAAAAGACTTCTGATAAAGTGATCTCTGATGAGTGGGCTGGAGGACTGGTTGACTGGCTGAGTGGGTAACAGTATTTCTACCAAGCCTGTGATCTAAGTTTGATTCCTCAGAACCCACTAACTGCTGCAAATTGTCCTTTGACCTTCACATACTGGCTGTGGCATGAACATCTCTGTCCCTAGCAAATAAATATGTAAATGTCATAAAATTATTTAAAATCAGTGGGCTGGGAATGTATCTTGCTAGAATGCTTGCCACATATGTGTAAGGCTTTGGGTTCAGTCTTTAGTACCAAATAGGTTATTCAAGTATACTATACTTCTGACTTGTGATGTTTTTGTTCATTGGCCTAAAGAATATGCTTCATCCTGAAACTGTATATTTCCTTCTATCATAGGACAGTTTTAGGTGTTCTATTATTTTTAGAGATAGCACCTCAGAGAGGAGGGCACAGAAAATTTAGAACACCCCTAAGCCAAGTCATATGTTGATTTATGACTTAAAAAGAATAGCAGGCTGGGAAGATAGCTTAATGGTTAAGGGTTTGACATTGAAAATTAAGAATAACAGTTCAGGTTTCCTGAACCCACATAAATGCCAAGTGGGCATGGCATTCTGCTTGTAATCCATCCCAGCTTTATCCCCAGAGTAAACTAGCATGGAGATTAGTTGTATCTACAAGCTCTGAATTTGATTGAGAAATCCTGTTCAGTGAATAAGGTCGTAGAGGGATAGAGAAGGATCCCTGACATTAACCTTGGGCCTCTCTATACATGTGCACTCACATGTATATGCACCTACACATGTGAGTGCTGAATTTGTTATTATTCCCTTCCCTCCCATGAACCCTGCACATGAAGTAATTCTGCCTCATCTAGTAAGGCAAAAGAGACAGGAAGGATCATTCCCCACATCAACTTTGGGCCTCTTCATGCATGCTTACCCACATGCATGCTTACCCACACAGACCTATGCCTATACACATGCAAACATGCATATACACACAAGTGGAGAATGAAAAGAATTAACTGTTTAGTTCTCACAAGTCAGTGAATTGACTGAATCTTGCTTGAATTTATGATAAGACTGTGCTCAGCCATTGGTTGATTTAAAGTTATGCTCAACTGGCATAGTTGCACCTCTCTCTCTCTTTCTCTATTCTCCCCCACCCCTGATCCTGCCTCCTCCCACCCCCATTGTCTCATCCTCCCCCAGGGCAGAGTGTGGCGATGTCTGTAATACAAAGGCCAAGGTTTAGTGTGCTTAACAGACCTGTGCTTCTGTGAGCAGCTTGTGTATACATGCCTTGCATCACTGTTGGAAAGGGCTACAAGAGGATGTGGGTGTTGGAGGTGTGCTTTGATGATGCTCTACTCTGTCACACTCGAGTGCCTGTTGACTCATCCTTTAGGGAACAGGAATGGGAGGTTTTTTGTGTACATGTGTATGTGTGTGGTACGGGCTGGCAGAGTTCAGGCCAGCCTAAAACTTGGAGCTTAAGAAGTAGGGTGGTTTGAATGAAAATGTTCCCCATAGGTTTGTGTGTTTGAATACTTGGCCCACAAAATGTGGACCTGTTTGGGAAGGGTTAGGTGTGGCCTTGTTAGACGAGGTGTGTCACTGGGGCATTCTCTGAGGTTTCAAAAGACTCATACCATTCCCAGTGTACTCTCTCCAGTGTCTCTTGTTTGTGGAACAAGATGTGAGATATCAGCTATTCCTGCCACCATGCCTTTGCCTCCCCATCAGATGTTTCCAGAACTACCTGTCCAGGGGAAGCACTGCCCATAGTGAGATGGGCCCTCCTTATCAATTACTAATCAAGAAAATTGAGATTCCCTCTTCTCAGATATGTCTAGGTTTGTGTCAAGTTGACAAAAACCAACCAACACAGCAATCGAAAGTAATTCTTCTTGACACTTAGTGGAACTTAATAAATGTGAAGAAGGGAAAAGATTTAACTTTCTGGAAGTAGACAGACTTATTTGTTGTTATTTCCACATTTATATATTTTAATTTTAAGTGCCTGGGTGTTTACCTGCAAGTATTGTTGGGTACACATGCATATGGTACTGGCAGAGGCAGAGAGGGGACATGGGATTCTCTGGAACTGGAATTACAGATGATTGTGGGCTGCCATGTGGGTGCTGGTGTTGTGGGGTCTCCACCAGAGAAGACTGCTTGGACATGGGTTTAATCCAGGAAAAAGTCTTTATTAGCTGGCTGAGAGCTATACTGGGTGCTTAGGATCCCAGTGTAGCACGGAACCTTTGTCAGGGTGAGATTTTAAGCACAAAAATCTGGGCTGGCATACTTCAGTTAACAAGAACAGTTAGCCAGAAATAGGACTACAGAAGCAAAACATTTAGCAAAGATAGTACGTTTATAGACTCCCAGAACTATGGACTTTGATGGATTAGGCCTTTGTTGTAGTTTTGGCAGGTGGTACTGTCTGTGGACTGAGTTTTACAGCCTGAATGGCACTTCCATCATGGAGTCAGTTGTGCTAAGGTCTGGAACCTACTAAGGTTACAGTAGGAACTGAACCCAGGTCCTTCCTTTGCAAAAGCAGAAACTGCCCTTAACAACCGAGCCATTTTTCAGTTTCTTCATTCCTAAGATAGATGTTTTTCAAATACCTCTTTTGGGAATTACTTTCTCTTTTTTGGGGGGGTAGGATTTAAACCAGGGTTTTTGTTTGTAATAGCCCTGGCTCTCCTGAAACTCGCTTTGTAGACCAGGCTGGTCTTGAACTCACAGAGATCTGCCTGTCTCTGCCTCCCTAGTGCTAGGATTAAAGGTGTGCACCACCACAGCCTGGTGAGAATTCTTAATTACAGTGCCATGCTGTCATGAACCATATCATATGTATGAATGGTATGGGAGTAACTAGACTATTTCTTCTGTCAGGTAGTTTTTCCCCTGAGTCATTGCTTCTTCAAAATCAAGTAATCGTAAGTTTTGTAACATTTTGGTCCTTAGCAGATCACTATATGACTGTGGTCTCATACAGTTATAACGGGAGCTAAAAAATGATTACTTTGTGACATAGCTGTTATAACTTCTGAGTGAAAACAATTATCATTCATGTTTGTGGTGATGTTGGCATTGCTAATCATTAAAATGTAACATATAGATATGTATAATTAATAACACTTGATTATAAAAAAATCACTGTCATTTGCTTATGTATTTACTATGTTGTAGTGTTTACTCCATTTGCACTGTTAGTAACAGCATAGAACCTACTGAATGCTATGCAAGCACTGTACCATTGAGTTATCCTAGCCCCTACTATTGTTTTAGAGTGTGTCCCTTCTTATTGAATGACAAAGTTTACTGTAAAGCATTGTATCATTGAATTGCCAATTTTGTGAAACTTATTTAATTTCTAATAGTTCTTTTTGCTTGTCCTGAAAAGGTAACATGTAGAATTAGGAGAAAACACTTATAAATCATGTATCTTAGAAGCAATTGATATCTAGAATATGTAATGAACTGTAATTCTGATGTAATATTAAAAAGTGGTTTAATATTTAAGGTGGAGACTTGTGGGAATCGGAGAGATGACTCAGCTGTTAAGAGTGCTTGTTGTTCCTCCAGAGGAGCAGAGTTCTGGAACCCACATTGGGCAGCTTACAGTTGCCTATAACTACAGCTCCAACCAATCCTGTACTGCCTTCTGGTTTCCATAGCCACCCAAACATGTGGCAAGCATGCACACACACAAATAGAAATAAATGTTTATTTATTTTAAGAATAATTTGGTATAACTTAATAGAATGATTGCCTAGAATGCATGAAGTTTTGGGTTTGCTTCCCAGCACTGTATAAACCAGGCATAGTGGGATACATGACCCCAAGGAGACTAAATCAGGTGGATTACAGGTTCAAGGTTGAAATCACCCTGCGCCACATAGCCAGACCTTGTTTATAAAAAAAGAGAAAAAGCTGCAGCCAGTGAATTTGAGACGTTTATATGCTCTCCTCCTTGGGAGATGATTTAAGGATAAGATGAATGGTCATTTGAACGGTGTCTTGCATGGGTTTTCATTTATCTCTTGACCTCCTGTTCTATGGTTTAGTTCCTCTTCCCAGGTTGATAGATCTTCCTAAAGAGGATTTGTGGCTATAAGAGAAGTTGCCAGTGTAGGTGTGTGGCTGGGAGTTTTAAACACTTGTGGGTATGTGGGTATGTGCTATAACAAATGTATGAAGATCAGAGACTACCTTGCAGGAATAGGTACCCCACTACCACCACCATATGGATTCTGGGGACGGAACTCAGGTCAGCAGACTTGGCAGCAAAATGCCCTTATCTACTGAAACTTCTCATCAGTCACCTTTTGTTTGCTAGAGCCCTGCTTTGTAATCCAAGCAAGTCTGGAAAAATTTGTGTGGTTCAGGCTATACTCAAATTCTATATTCAAATTCACTAAGAACCTTTTTCCAGTGGTGGGAGTACAGGCTCAAACTGCCATTCCCTACCCTGTATTTGTTTTTGTTTTTAATAGATCTGATTGTATAGATCTCTGACTGTCCTGAAACTCCCAGAGGTCTGCCTGTCTCTGCCTCCCAATTCTGTGACTAAAGATGTGACCTAGCATGCCTAGCCTTCCAGTATTTGTTTTCCCATTCCTTCTGATCTGAGTAGTAGTCAGTAAGCTAGAGCACTGTGTTTAGAGTGGCATTTCCTAACTCCTTTGACTTCTTGTCATTTCTTTGTGAACTGCTCTTCTTGCTGGGAAGACAGTAAACAGGCAAACTAATGAGATTACTTCAGTAGGACTGTGGTAGTCAGATTACTGTTATATAACCGAGGGCCAGTGTTAGATTGGTCTCGGGCTTTGCGGGAGGACACATTTCGTCTTGAGACTGAAATGGTGAAAAGGAGGGGAAGTGGGATATCTGTCTTGGCAGAGTGGCTCGGAGCTAGACAGCTTTCCTAGAAATGGAAAGGGAAGTACAGAGACCTGGAAGCAGTGTGGGAGGCATGTGGCTGTTATTGCTGGAAATATTAAAGTCCTTGCTTGTGGGCCACAGTATGGGAGGATAGTAGAGGAGGCAGTAGCCAGGAACTTTGTAACCTTGTAGACAGCAGTGCACTTTGCTTTCAGTAGAAGCTTTAGGGAATAGTTTTGTTTTTATTTAATGGTTGATTTTTTTAAACACCAAATATAGATTACTTTCAAAATCAGTAAAAACAAATTTGCAAATGAAAGGGAAAAATGCCCAAAGGACATGGATAGACATTTCTCCAAAGAAAAGATACAAATGGCCAACAAGCATATGAAAAATCAACATTACTAATCATTAGGAGATATACAAGTCAAAACTATACTGAGATGTCATTTTATATCTGTCCGTATGACCATTATCAAATCCAAAACAAAATAGGAGCTAAGTCTGGAGGCTGGGACCACCAGCCTCCATTGAGTAGATGAAACCCAAGTAGCCAGGGCTGTATAGAGAGATCTTGTCTCAGAAAGAAACAAGCAAAAACCTGAAAAATGACAAACATTGTTAAAGATGTGGATGAATTGAAACAGTTGTACACTGTGGTCATGTAAAATGGTAGTCACAATGGAAAACCATGTGCTGCTTTAAAAGTTAAACTGTTGTTAGAGTTCAGGGCCAAGCACTTACCTCAAAAGCTCAAAGGTCTGGGTTCTAGTCTTCATACCAAAAAATTCTTTTTTTGTTTGTTTTTAGAGACAGGCTTTCATAGCCCTGGCTATCCTGAAACAAACTTATTTGTAGATGAGGTTGGCCTTGAACTTACAGAGATCTGCCTGCCTCTGCTTCCCTAGTGCTGATATTAAAGGCATACACCACTACTGCCTGGTCCCAAAGTTTTTGTATTTGTTGTTTTGGTAAGACTTAAATTTATTTATTTTTTTTTGAGACAGGGTTTCTCTGTATCTTTGGAGGCTGTCCTGGAACTTGCTCTGTAGACCAGGCTGGCCTTGAACTCACAGAGATCCGCCTGCCTCTGCCTCCTGAGGGCTGGGATTAAAGGTTCCACCACCACCCTGCTAAAATATTTTTTTATATTTATGTTTTGCCTATATGTATGTATTGCACTATGTGTGTGCCTGGTTTTAAAGAGGCCAGAAGATGTCAGATTCCCTGAAACTGGACTTAAAGACAATTGTAAGTTGCCATGTGGCTTCTGAGACCTGAACCTAGGTTCTCCGCATGAACAGTGTTTGTTGTTAATCGTTGAGCCATCTGCTTAACCCCTAAACTAATTAGTTTTGAGCAGGGTATGATGGCATATGAATATAGTCCCAGTACTTGAGAGACTGTGAGTTCAAATCAAGCCTGAGCTGAATCACAAGATGCCATCTCAAAAATATACAGACAAGTACAGCATAGAATGCTGTTGAGAATGCTCATTGCAGCTTAAAGCAGGCTCTTAAGGGCTTGTTTGAATATTCATGTTTATGACCCTGGTTTTCACAGAAGAATGGACACAGGAAAGTGCACACGCACACTGTTCTATGTTTTTTTTTTAGCCACATTTAAAAAAATGTGAATCATTATGAGTCAGGCATAGTGATTTACACTTGTAATCCCAGTACTTGGGCTACAGAGGCAAAAGGGTCTCTGAAAGTTCCGAATACCAAGCTAGCCAGAACTACATACCTGAGACCCCACCTAAAACAATAACAACAACAAAAATGGTCAAGAACAAACAAACCCAAATATATTTGCAACTTTAGGGCAGTCATGAGACATTTCATGTTCTCATCGCATCGTCCTTTTGAGGTAATAGTCACCGGTTTTTAAAGCTCTGTCAGTTGCTGTTAGGATCTGTTGCTTTGTGATGCTTGTCCATTGGCTCTTTCCCTGTTGCATATTTTTACTTTCTAGTTTTTATTTCAGAGAAGAATAGATAAGTCCAGTGGTTTGAATTAATCTTTTCCCTGCCTTCTCTTTTTAGATGTGACGATGAACAGATGTGTAATGACAAAGAGCGCTTTGCCAGGTAATGTACTAGAATTTTTGGTCCTGGTTATGGCATCAAGCCGTCTAAATGTTGGATTTAAATTTTATCTACATGAGACTGAATTTCTCTGTTTAGTATCTTTCTTCTTCTGAAAAGTGTTGAAACACCTGTAACTTATGCATGGTCAGGTGAAGCTAGTGGTGTATTTTTACATAGTGTTTTTCCCGTGTATGCAAGGTATACTAGTATGTTTATTGTAGCTATCGGGACACAAACTATGGACTTCTTGGGTTTATTTGTGTATCTACTTGTTTTTCAAGGTAGAGTTTCTCTGTGTAACTCTGGTTGTTCTAGAACTCGCTTTGTAGAGCAGCCTGGCCTTGAACTCAGAGATCCACCTGCCTCTGCCTTCCGAGTGCAGGGATTAAAGTTCTGTACCATTACTATCCAGCTGAATATATTTATTATTATATTGATACAAATAATCAAGGAATTTTTACAGAAAATGATTTTTACTCATTTAAATGAGTTTTTCTAGGTTAAATAAGTTTTAGAAGGGGGAGGGGGAAAATAAGTGTTAGAATATTATGAAATATACTTATTTTACTTTTATTAAAGAGTAATCTTTCTCAGCTCAGTTACTGGTTTTACCTTTAAAAAAATCTTGCTATGAGTTACTCTTAAAAAGTAGATAGATACATAGAACATGGGGCTGGAGAGACGGCTCTTGGGTAAGAATGCTTGTTGCTCTTACACAGGGTTTGAATTTGGTTTGGTTTCCAGTATGCACATGGTGGCTCATAACCACCTGTAACACTAGCTCCAGGGAACGTGACATCCTCTTTTGGCTTCTGGGTACTTCCAAATGCAAGTGATCATTCATACATACATACATACATACATACATACATACATACATACATACATACACACACACACACACACACACACACACACACACACACAGACACACAGACACACACACACACACACACACACACACACACACACACACACACACTTGGGGGGAGTCATGATATTGGGTTCCAGGTATAAGCCCGTGCCCCTGGCCACTCAGTACCCTTTGATCCAGCAGAGTTTGATGTGTCCCAGAAGATCAGAAAGGTGTAGGTCAAGCACTTGCATGTGAGTGTCTGCTTCAGTACAATGACCCCAGATGCCAGACACACATTGTAAATTCTATCTTGACTCATTGGACTTAAGCAAGATTAGCAAATGTTGTCATACAAATTTCAGACATGGACTGGAGAGATGGCTCAGAGGTTAGGAGCACTGACTGCCCTTCCAGAGGTTCTGAGTTCAATTCCCAGCAACCACATGGTGGCTCACAACCATCTGTAATGAGATCTGGTGCCCTCTGATGGTGTGCAGACATAATGGAAGCAAGATGTTGTGTTCATAATAGGTAAATCTTTAAAAATATTTTTTCAGACACTCCCAAGAACTCATTTTCAGGAGCAGTGGCAGCATTTGGATCCCTCATCTTCTGCTATTATGTTCTCAAAACAGACAGGGACATAAAGGAAAGGCTTATCTGGGAAGGAAAATTGGACTGAACTTTTTACCTCTCCTGTTAGATTAGTCAAGGATGACTTTTCTAATGAATACTTTAAACTCAATCCCTAAATCCAACTGAGGCCCCTTCCACACACACAGTGACACTCCAGTGCCGTTACATCATATAGACACATACAATTTGATAAATAAAAATTTAGGAAATACTTAATTTTTTGCCTGGAGAGATGGCTTAGGGTATAAAATGCTTATTCCCCAGAACCCACATAAAATCTTGGTATGGTATCCCAAGAGTCTGTAGTCTTGTAACACTTCCTTCTTGAGAGAAGAATGAGACAGGAAAATGACCAGACGCTCATGGCTCACTAACCTGATGTGTGCAGCAGTGAATAGTAAGAGTGACTATCTCAGACCAGGTGGGGGGCATAGACCAACACTTGAGGTTGTATGTCTATGTATGGGTATGTACCCTATGTATGGGTATAGACATGTGAGTGTGCGTGTCAAAAGAGGCTGTAAGAGGACATCAGACTTCTGTAAGAGCAGCAAGCACATTTAACCATTGAGCTATTTCTGGAACTCAATGGATACTGATTTAAGACTTTATTACATTGATTGATTCATTAATTAATGGACAGTGAGCAAGAGAGAGCACTTCATCCCACATGGGGAGCTTAGAGGACAACATTTGTTGTCCACAGTTGTTGCTTTCCAACTGTGAGTTCCAGCGGTCAAACTCGGATCTTTAGGCTTGGCTGCAAAGTACCTTAATTCACTGAGCTATCCTGTCAGCCCTGTGAGTACTTATTAATAGTATTTATTCATCTATTCATTGCTGATTCTGCCTGTTGGGATCCACTCTGAGGCCGCAGATCTAGAGAACTAACAAGTACCAGGCAGAGTGGTTTAAAACTCTGAGGCACAGTGCTGTCAGGATATGTAGCTGAGAGAATGGGTAGCAGGAGGCAAGTAATAGGTAGAAAGAGGGAGGCAGGTAGATAGAAGCTGTTGTACTATTAGAACAACTGTGAAACCATGAGTGCCTGGGCACAGAAAAGTGACCTTCGTGCTAGGTAAGGTGTTTAGTAAAAACTGGTGAAATAAATGAAATCTTAAGGATGCAAATAATCTCCAAAGTGAATAGTTAATTTTGTGGTAATAATCTTTCAGATTCTATTAGAAACTCAAGCCATAAGACTGGATGTGGTGGTATACACTTGTAATCTCAGTGCTATGGAGGTGGGGGCAAGAGATCAGAAGTCCTAGGTTAGGGACTGGAGAGGTAGCTCAGCAGTTAAGAGCACTGGCTGCTTCTGCAGAGGACAGGGATTCGATTCCAGCATCCATGTGGTGGTTCACAACCATCTATGAGTCCAGTTCTAGGGCATCCAACACCCTCTTCTGGATTCCATGAACCTTGCATGTATGTGACACACATGTATACATGCAAGCAAAACACATAAAAATAGGTAAATCTTTAACAGAAAGTTATTTGACACCTGGGCAGTTGGTAGCACAGGCCTTTAATCCCAGCACTCAGGCGGATCTCAGTGTATCTGAGGTCAGCCTGGACTACAGAGCAAGTTCCAGATCATCATTAAGGCAGATAGTGTAGGTCCATAGTCTCTGATTGAAATTCCAGACAATCATAATAACACAGCTTGGAGTATTTTAATCTACCTGTGTCCTATTCTGTTCAGAAATATTGGAGTAGACAAGAGATTATGACTCTATTAATACTAAAAGGAATTTTAATGCAAAAATTCATTTCTTTTTAAAATTTGCTTTTCAAGACAGGGTTTCTCTGTGTAGCCCTGCTACTCTCTGAATACAGGGCTGGCCTTGAATTTAGAACTCAGAGATCCACCTGCCTCTGCCTCTTGAGTGCCGGGATTAAAAGTGTGCACCACCACTAGGCAAAAAAGACTTTTCTAAATGATTTTTAAAAATGACCTATTAAGATTCTGTTTTTAAACATATGTTTGTGGGTACTGCATGTGGGTATATATATGTGTGGGCATGTGCCCATGGAAGCCATAGGATTCCCTGGAGTTGTATTTATAGGCAGTTGTCAGCTGTTCAACATGTGTGCTAGGAACTAAACTCAAATCCTCTTCCAGAGCAGTGTGTGCTCTTAACCTCTGAGCCATATCTCCAGTCTCCCTCCCTCCCTCCCTCCCTCCCTCCCTCCCTCCCTCCCTCCCTCCCTCCCTCCCTCCCTCCCTCCCTCCCTCCCTCCCTCCCTCCCTCTCTCTCTCTCTCTCTCTCTCTCTCTCTCTCTCTCTCTCTCTCTCTCTCCCCCTTCCTTACTCCCTCTTTCCCTCTCTCCTTTTTTTTTTTTTGAGTTAAGATCTTATCGGCTCTGGCATTCCCAGAACCCACAGGCATTATTTTGCCTGTTTTCTGAGTTGAGCACCTCCACAGCCAGCTCTTCTTTTTGTACTCATCCTTTTTTGAGTATGTATATGTGCATGTAGAGACTAGAGGACAAAACAGGTCTCACTTCTCTGTCTTGGAATGTACCAGGTTGGCTAGGCTGCTCTTCAGTGAGCCCCTGGGATCCTCCGATCTCTGCCTTCCCAGTGCCAAGATTCCAAGGATTTTACGTTGCTATTTTGCTGGAATTTTTCCATATATTGCTCAAATAATAATTATTAAGTTCATTCTATTATTATTATTATTATTATTATTATTATTATTATTATGCTCAAGTTGTGCTTTTTTGCAAATTCCTAGACACAGCAGTTCTCCTGTCTCGTTGTCCCTAGTAGCTGGCATTGCAAGGCCCCTGCTTCCTGCTGTGTCTATCCTAAGGCAAAGTCTTAAGAAGTTATTTTATTTGCATGACTGGATTTGTTGTCTTTGTTCATATGAGACAGTCTCTCTGACCTGTTGCTCAGTTCCCATGTTCATATGTGTTCTACCATTGAGATACATACTCCTTGTCATTATCTTAAAAGTGTTTTAAATTTTACTTATTTTATCTGTATTTCTTTTGCTTGCATGTATGTCTCTGCAGGCAGCATAACCATGTATGATTCCGTAGAGGACAGAAGAGGGGGTAACATCTTCTAGAACTGGAGCTAGAGACAGACTGTTGTGAATTGCCATGTGGGTACTGGGAATGGATCCTGGTTCCTCTGGGAATCTCAGTGTTCTTATAGCTACTGGCCCATCTCTCCAGACCCATTGTTGTCATTTTTAATAGCTAAACCTTTTTGATCTGCTAATATGCTTTACTTAGATAATTTATTTAAGGCTTGTCTCTTTTAAAGTAAGTGCAGTAAATTAGATAATACCTTATTTTTTCAGTTGCTACCTTCACCCCTTTTTTTGGGATGAGGCTTTTGAGATGGTTTTTCTATGTAGCCCTGGTTATCCTGGAACTTACTGTGTAGTCAGGCTGACCTTGAACTCCTCAAGCGCTGGAGTTAAAGGCATGTACCACCCATCATTTTTTGTTTGGTTTGTTTTTTGAGACAGGGCTTCTCTGTATAGCTTTGTAGACCAGACTGCCCAGCTTCTGCCACCCATTCTTAATATTATCTTGATTTTCTGGAAGAATTTATTGTTAACTTTTGTCTTTCTCCAAGGGAGAAGGAATTGATACTGGTTAAACTACAGAAAAAGTGCTAAGGTAATTGGACCATAATTAATTAGATTTGGAACATGCCAGTGATAAAGGATATGCAAAAAACATAGCTCTTCGTTTAAAGATATAATTTTATGAATAACATCTGGTCACGGTCCAACTAGATGACTCAGCATATAACTCTTTTCACCAAGACTGAGGACCCAAGTTGTAGCCCCCCAAATCACATGATGAAAGGAGAGAACAGACTCCCACAAGTTGCCCTCTAACTTCCTGTATGCACTCTGTGGCATATGTGTGCATGCACACAGGCACACGAAATGTTTCAATGGGGAAAACAGACCTGGTCATAATTTTTGTGTGTGTATATGTGTGTGTGTGTGTTTATGTTAGGGAATCACATTTCTGATCAGTTGTCTGAAACTTCTTATTTTAGCCACTGTGGAATATTGTTTGTATGATTTTCTTCCCAAATTGGCAGCAGCTTATAAGAATGATCATCCTGAATTCCCTGGTGGCTCTTGTTCGAATTCTGTATCTTTGGTCTCTGTAGAGATTGTTTGACAAAATGTTTTTTTATGTGTGTTTTGAGATCATGTTGGTTCCTAACTGGCCTTGACTTTTGTAAGTTACTTTTCAAAAAATATGGTTGTGTAGATTGTAGGCAAGGTCCTTGCTTGTATTGCCATTTCCTCCCTTTTCTCTGTATCCATTTTATTTTTCTTTCTTCCATTTGCATTTCATTTCTCCTGCCTCCCTTTCATCCATCCCTTCTTCTTTCCTTTCTTCCTTTTTGTTTTAATTTTCGCTTAGTTCATCAATTCTGTTTTTAGGTCGGATGATGAGCAGAGCTCAGCGGATAAAGAGAGACTTGCCAGGTAGGAACCGTGTTTAGCATGAAGCCGATGCCGCTGCTCTTCCTGCCCTTGTCTTACCCTTCTTTCCTTCCCCTTCTGTATTTTCTCTTATCTGTGGAAAAAAAAGACATCATTTTTTTTTTTTACAAGTTTGGGCGTAACAGGAACTTTAGCTCCTCCATCATGAAGTGATTGAGTTAAGCTGGGCAGTGGTGGCAGACTCTTTTAATTCCAGGTCTGGTGGCGCACGCCTTTAATCCCAGCACTTGGGAAGCAGAGGCAAATGGATCTCGGTGAGTTTGAGACCAGCCTGGACTACAGAGTGAGTTCTAGGACAGCCAGCGTTGTTACATAGAGAAACTCTGTCTTGAAAAACCTAAAAGAAACAAAAACAACAAAGAAAGAAGAAATTGCTGTGTTCATTATTTAAAATTATTTATTTTCTTTTTATCTTATCACTAAATTCATAGATTGAGAAGGATTTAGAAATAATGTGTCAGGGGCTGGAGAGATGACTCAGAGGTTAAGAACACTGGCTGCTCTTCCAGAGGTTCTGAGTTCAATTCCCAGAAACCACATGGTGGCTCCCAACCATCTGTAATGAGATCTGGTGCCCTCTTCTGGCCTGCAGGTGTACATGCAGGCAGAACACTATACATAATAAGTAAATAAATCTTTAAGAGAAAAGAAAGAATGTAGCTGTGTCCATTGGTGCTTTAACAGGAAAACAGAAAATCTATAATTGTCATAGTTCCTAGTGTTTAGGGCAGCACTTACTCTACACTTCCCTATGTAGACTTACAAATAGATTACTCTGTCAGAACTGATTGAATCCTTATAATTTCTGAGGAACGTTCTAGCTGTCTTCGTATGGCTCTTTAAAAGGTGAGTTTTCGCCGGGTGGTGGTGGCGCACGCCTTTAATCCCAGCACTCGGGAGGCAGAGGCAGGCAGATCGCTGTGAGTTCGAGGCCAGGCTGGACTAACAGCCTCTAAAACAATACAAAGAAACCCTGTCTCGTAAAAACAAAACAAACAAACAAAAAAAGGTGAGTTTTCTATGCTGGAGAGATAGTTTAGTCTGTAAAGTGCCTGCTGTGCAAGCATGATTACCAGAGTTTTATCCCAAGAAGGAGGGTGTGGGTCTATAGCTGCATATGAGTGTAATTATAACACAATAGGGACGCAGAGGCAAGCCAGTCCCTCAGGGCACTGGGCAGCTGTACTAGCCTCGTAGTCCCAGTGAGAGCTGATGTCTCAGAAAGCAAGTGGGAGGAGCGTGTCTTAAGGACCAACCCCCGAGACTGACTTTGATGTCATATACTTGTGCTTGCGTGCACACTCATGCTCATGCAGGGTGCACATGCACGCACATCAATTTTCTGGATGTCACTCTCAAATTTTTCAGATACAAAGAAAATGGGTACTTTAAATTTCAGAGTAATTTTTTTCCTATGTCCTAGGCTTTTAAAAGTAACTAAATATGAACCTATAAAGTGGGAATTTTTTTGTATCTGAAAGAGACTCTAGAATCAGTCCTTCTTCCCTCCTTCAAGGCAGGGTCTCATGTACCTATGCTGGCCTTTTACTCATGATTCTCCTGCCTCTGCCTCCCAAGTACTAGGATTGTAGGTACGTGCTGTCATGTCCAGGTAGATAATCTCTGCAGTCAGATTTCTCTTGAGGGAGTTCTAGGGCTTGAATTTAGGGCTTTGGTGCTGAGGTGAGCACTGTGCCACTCCCTGTGTTGGCTCTCTCTAGGCTACTGTCCATGGTACAGAATCCTGCATTACGCCCTCACTTCTGTTCTGGTCTTTGATTTGGCATGCCTTACTAGTAACTGGTTGTTAATGCAAACATTTTTACTATTTTCCCCCTGTATTACTTCTTCAAATTGGGCCACAAATTCATTCTGTGGCTGTTTCAACCCATGCCTACTACTGCTGCTAATGCTTCCACCCTTCAGAATCCTGGTTCAGCATGATGGTGGTGAGGGACGCATTGCACTGGGGAGGAGGACGGCTCTGGGAAAGCCATCTAATCCTTTGACTTCACTTGGCTCATTTTATAGCAAGGATATTTGTGTTTTAGATGGTGTGTGTCTGTGTGTGTGTTTATAGAGTAGACCCGTGTGTGTGTGTGTGTGTGTGTGTGTGTGTTTCTCTATGGAGTAGATGTGTGTGTGTTTGCGTGTGTGTTTCTCTATGGAGTAGACCCGTGTGTGTGTGTGTGTGTGTGTGTGTGTGTGTGTGTGTGTGTGTGTGTGTTTCTCTATAGAGTAGACCCGTGTGTGTGTGTGTGTGTGTGTGTGTGTGTGTGTGTGTGTTTCTCTATAGAGTAGACCTGTAGTGGTGAAAGAAGTCTGTAAAGATGGTAGAGCTCCTCAGCCAGGAGTCAAAATGCAGCCTGCTCGCTTTTCTCTTTGAGGCATCCTCATGGAAGCCCCTGAGCAGCCTTTAGCTTTCTAGAATTCCTGATTCTGCCTCAGTTCCTTGGTTATCTCAGTTGAAATCTCTGTTCTCTCCCCATGCTTTCACTTGTGTCTCCCTACCCTGTTCCTGCACCCACCATACATTTTGCCCAGGCTGAGGACCCACATGATAACTTGTACTCTCTTCAGTTCAGTGCACTTCCAAACCACAAAAGAAGGTAGGACTTTTGTGCATTAGCATAACAAAATTCCAGAATCTTCCAATTCTGCATTTTAATGTCATAAGAAACTTATAACAAAGCAGCATTTAGTATACTAAGAGAATTCATACTATCATGTCTTTTTTTTTTTTTTTTTTTCTTTTTGGGACAAGGTTTCACTATGTAGCCGTGGCTGTCCTGGAACTCACAGAGATCCATCCACCTGCCTCTACCTCTTGAGTACTGGCATTAAAGGCAGACATCACCATTCATGGCCTCCCTTTTCCCTTCCCCTCTCCCACTTTCTCTCTTTTTCTTTTTTTTAAGGACAGTCTTATGTAGTCCATGCTAGCCCCAGACTTGATATATAGCCGAAAATGAACTTAAACTTTTAATCCACTCAAGTTCTGGGATTATAGGTTTACACAATTACACCTGTTTTATGGGATGCTGGAGATAAACCCAGAACTTTGTGCATGCTAGACAATCACTGTACCAGCTGAACTAAATTCCCAGTCTGAGGTAGTGGTTGCTACTGCTTTTTCTTCTCTTCCTTTAAACAAAAGGGGCGGTGGGGGGGTAGTTTTGAGACTGATATTGCTATGTAGCCCAGACTAGTCTTAACTCACTTTGAAGTTCATGATGGTCCCTCTTGCCTTAGCCTCCCCATTGCTGGAATTATAGACAGGCCTGGCCTCATTTGTTTTTTCTTTCTAAGACAGGGTTTCTCTGTGTAACAGCCCTGGCTGTCCTGGAACTCACTCTGTAGACCAGACTGGCCTTAAACTCAGAGATCTGCCTGCCTTTGTCTCCCAAGGGCTGGGCCCAAAGTCGTGTGCCACCACTGCCCAGCCTTATTTGATTCTTTAGAACAGGATATCACTATGTAGTTCAAGTTGCCCTGGAACTTGCTGTATAGCTCAGGCTGACCTCAAACTTAAAATTCTTGTGCTTTAGTCTTTTAAGTGATGGAATTGTAAGCATGGGTTATTCATGTCTGACCTGTGTACTATTATTTCTTTCATAAGCTATAGATCCACTAACTTAAATTGTCAAAAGTTGGTCATTTTATTTTCTAGCCTTCAGGTGTTTTAATTAGTAAACATGCAGTCAGCAAAGCTGAGATTTACCCCCTTAGGAATCTCAATAAATGAAATCAACATTAAAAAACAAAACTATTATTTCTTTTTGTTTGATTGTTTTTGTTGTTGTTGTTTGAGGCAGGGTTCTCTGTGTAGCCCTGGTTGTCCTGGAACTCTCTCTGCAGACCAGACTGACTTTGAACTCAGAGATGTGCCTGCCTCTGCCTGGAGTTCTGAGATTAAATGCATTCACCCCCATACCCATCTTTAACTGTTATTTTTAAAAACATTTCTTTACTCTGAAGAAACGGTAATTTAGAGGAAGTGGTTTCCTGGAGAGGCATTATGTACTTCATTCTTTGTCTAGACTTTGTAGTTTGTTTCATGCTTTCTCCGCATGAGGTTGACCTGCTTGGCTTCTGAGACTTGAACTTCATCAAACCTAAGTACTACATCTTTCAACAGCTGACCCGGTATCCATATCACTCTCCTGATACCAGAGGACCAAATGTGTGCACCTAGAACGGAGCTTCTCTCTCTTTCTCTATGCAGGGAAAATCATAGTGAAATAGAACGGCGACGACGAAACAAGATGACAGCTTACATCACAGAACTGTCAGACATGGTACCTACCTGTAGTGCCCTGGCTCGAAAACCAGACAAGCTGACCATCTTACGAATGGCCGTTTCTCACATGAAGTCCTTGAGGGGAACTGGCAACACATCCACTGATGGCTCCTATAAGCCATCTTTCCTCACTGATCAGGTCTCTGGAACTTAAATGTAGTGGGTTTTTTTTTTTTTTTTTTTTTGAGGTAAGGTCTCATGTAGCCTCCAACTCACTATACTGTCAACAGTGACATTGAACCCATTTATTGTCTCTACCTCCCCCATGCCATAATGACCAGCTTCAGGAGGTTGCTTCTTTAGGAAACATCAGACCACACTGATGATGTCAGTCCTCGAGTGTAGCTAAGTATTGGGGTACGGGAAGTAGACAAGACTTGTGAGAACTATTAGCAAGATTTTAGGTATTTTAGAACTTGAGTTATAAATACAGCCTGTAAAGTGAAAGAAGGATGTCATTTCAGAGAGGTTACCACATTCATGGAACCAGGATTCCTTGGGTTTAGGATTCTGGAACATGGAAGAAATCTGTCTCAGCCCTGAAGCAACTTCCAGTCTTACGAGGTCTAACAGACAATCCCTGTTGCTCTGTGGTATGTTCTGTTACATTTGATAATATATGTGGAAACAGAGACTGCAGAAATACTTCCCATCACCAGGAACTCCATCCAAGAGCTATGGCTGTAGCTCATTGGTAGAGCACTCACCTCCTGTGCTGGAGCCCTAGTTTCAGTCTCCACTACTGCCAGACGAAAGACTTAAATTTGAACATAAAAAAATGTGTGAATGGTAAGATAAGTAAATGAAAAAATGATGGAGAGAGGCATATGGAGAGCAGGTGGCTTCTTTGTTAATATTTTATATGTGATAAATATGTAATGGTGGGTTGCCTCCTTTGTTTAGTCTCTGCACTTGGGTGCCTATGGCCGACAGATTACATTTCAATTAAAAATCTGAATTGGCCAGGGCATGGTGATACATGCCTTTAATCCCAGTACTAAGGAAGCCAATGCCAGCCTGATCTACATAGAGAATTCCAGGCCAGCCAGGGCTACATAGCAACACCCTGTTTCAAAAATAAAAAAGATATATGGTAATTCTTACCTAGAAAACACAAAGCCCTGAGTATGATTCCCCAACACCATATACAACTGGATGTGTTACCCCATAACCTGTAATTCCAGCTCTAGGGTAGGAGTAAGAAGCTGAAGTCATCTTCCTAAGGTTAGCCTAGTATATATGAGACCTTATCTAAAATAAATATATATGCACCTGCAAATGTGTGATTACTGTGGTGGGAAGTTTTAGAAAATACAGGCATTATAAAGAATAAGGCAAAGGACATTTAATGTAATGTCAGACTGATCTATGCCGGTTATTAGCTATATGTGTTAGTTCTGATTCTAGTTCTTGAGAAGCTGAAGCTAAGTGGTTGTCATGAATCCAAGGCCAGAAGACCCCTGCCCCCCTCTAAATATCTCATTATTGTAAGCCTTTTTATTTTCCCTTGAGTATTAAGAGGAAGAGGTGGCTAGCAACGTAGAGAAATAGAATACTTACTGTAAAAACCTTTGCCAGTAGGTATTTAGGGTGGGAACCCATCCATGGTTTGGCTGAGGTATGACCTTCAATTCCTAATGGAGCAGTGCATATATACCAAAGAATCTTGCTGCTTCCCATGATTAGAAATATATGATTTTTCCAGAGTTCACTATTAACTTTGAATTATTTTCTTGACCAGGAACTGAAGCATTTGATCTTGGAGGCAGCAGATGGCTTTCTGTTTATTGTCTCATGTGAGACTGGCCGGGTGGTTTATGTCTCTGACTCAGTGACTCCTGTTTTGAACCAACCACAGTCTGAATGGTTTGGGAGTACACTCTATGATCAGGTGCACCCAGACGATGTGGATAAACTTCGAGAACAGCTGTCTACTTCAGAAAATGCCCTGACAGGTGAGAGTTGGGTGGACAGCAAATGAGTGGGAGGAAAAAAAGAGTCTTTATTTTGCTGAGGCATTAGACACATTTAAGTCCTTACATTGGTTTGTTGAATCTGGCAGAAGCTTATAAAAATTTTCTCTTAATGAATATACTTGTTAAATTTTATTCACATGCAGAATATCTACTCTGTGGCTCATTCTTAGAAAATGTTTCATCAGTGATTAGGTTAATTTGTATCTTAATTATATTGTAAATAAAACAGGGAAATTAAAATGTGCAATAGTTTCTTTCCCCTGTGTCCACATGATAAAAGAATTAGTTATGCTTGTATTTTATCTATTACCTGGCATTTTTTTTCATACACTCTTGTGTTTGACTTTGTGCTAGGTTCTATAAGAGAGTGGCTATTGGTCAGTGTATAAGGTACTTGGTTGTATGTTTACTGTGTCTTTCTCCCTCTACCCATTTAAATGAGATTCAGTCCTTTGCCAACATTTGGTTAGAGGAATGAGTGACATTTGTTCTAGGCAACTGTATAGGGAGTTACAAAGTGGAAAATAACTGCAAGAAGTTCCAATATCTTTGCAGTGGACATGGCCATATTAATTCCAGTTTTTAGTTTTCCCCTTTTGTGATTTTGTACATTTCATTTCTCTAGTTTTCTGTTTCCCCAGAAGTTACTGTTTTTTTTTTTTTTTTGGGAACTAAATGGTTTTGTTTTCAGACAGATATATTTCTTAGTGTGTAAAATCACTTGTTTTTAAACCAGACCCCCCCACTTTCCAGCTTGAAGATAATTAGCAGACTGGCTAGATGGCTCAGTGGGCGGAAGGAGCTTGTCATGTGAACTCAGGAGCCTACGCTTAACCTGTGGAGCCTATGTGAGAGTGGAAGGGAGACCAAGTCCACAGAGTGGTCTTCTCACCCCCTGCATATGAGTGGACACGCACACGCACACGCACACGCACACACACACACACACACACACAAGTCCACAGAGTTGTCTTCTCGCCCCATGCATATGAGTGGACACGCACACACACACACACACACACACAAGTCCACAGAGTGGTCTTCTCGCCCCATGCATATGAGTGGACACACACACACACACACACACACACACACACACACACACACACACACAAGTCCACAGAGTGGTCTTCTCGCCCCATGCATATGAGTGGACACACACACACACACACACACACACACACACACACACACACACACACACACAAGTCCACAGAGTGGTCTTCTCGCCCCATGCATATGAGTGGACACGCACACACACACACACACACACACACAGACACACACACAAGTCCACAGAGTTGTCTTCTCGCCCCATGCATATGAGTGGACACACACACAACAAGAATAACACAGTTTTGTGAGAAAGTCACACACACACACACACATATACCAAGAATATTACAGTTTTGAGAGAAAGACAAAGATGATGCTATACCTTGCTTGGCCAGTTTTGGAAGCGTATACCTTTAAAGCCAGTACTTGGGAGGCAGAGGTAGGCAGATCTCTGGGTTTGAGGCCAGTCTGGTCTACATAGTGAGTTCCAGGACAGCCAGGACTACACAGAGAAACCCTGTTTCAAAAGGCAAAACAAACAACAACAACAAAAATAACAACAAAACAACAAAAAGGACTAGAGAGATGGTTCAGTTTTTAAGAGCACTGGCTGCTCTTCCAGAGGACCGGAGTTCAATTCCCAGTGCCCACATGGCAGCTCACAACTGTCTGTAACTCCAGTTCTAGGACTTCTGACACCTTCACATCAGTGCACACAAAATACAAAGTTAACTAAATGATTTAAAACAACAACAAAAAGACACGCTTCGCCTCTCGTTTCCTTGAAGTACTTTCCATTCCTGCCTTACCCAGAGACATTTGCAGGGACATCGTAGAGCTAATAGTGAGATTCCTGGATGAGGATGGAAGTAGTTAAGGCTCGAAAAAGCATCTCTGTCATGAACAAGAAGGCTAGGAGCCTGGATGGACACTGACCATTGCATCCTGTGTCTCTTCCCTTTCCCACGCACAAGAACTAACTTCAGATTGCTCTCCACATCCCCTCCAGGGCGAATCCTGGACCTAAAGACGGGCACAGTGAAAAAGGAAGGCCAGCAGTCTTCCATGAGGATGTGCATGGGCTCAAGAAGATCCTTTATTTGTCGAATGAGGTGAGTGTGAAGCTTGGGACTGTGTTGGGTAGAGATAATGAGCCCCTGAGGCTTTCGTTTCCGTCAGAGGCATTAACATCTAATTTCTAGAGCTATGTTCCTGGCCACAATTGGATTACATTTAATTCTCAAGAACCAGATGTTCCATCATATGGTTCTAATATAGCACTTAGTAAGAGAAGCAACACTTAATGAATTGCTCTTATGGCATAGTTGGCAGGCCCTTTGTTTCTTCCTGTTTGTCTTCTTAATTTGTTTTCACAACTGTCCATAGGGTAAGATTCATGGTTACTATCTTATTGATTATAAAAAGGGGTTCAGTGGGCTCAACACTTTCTGCTCTTCCATCCTCAATTTCTTTACTAACACCACATGGTAGCTTATAGCTATCTGTTAGTCCAGTGTCAGGGGACCTGATGCTTTCTTCTGGCTTCGGTGGGCACCAGGCATGGAAGTGGTGCACAGACATGCAGACAAAACACCATACACAAAAATGCTTTCCATGGGTTCTGGGCCTGCAGAGATGGCTTACCAGTTGAAAGCGCTGGTCTTCCATAGGATGCAGGTTTGACTTGTAGTACTCACATGGAGGTTCACAGCCATCTGTGACTCAAATTCCAAGGGATCGGATCCTCTGACCTCCTTGGCCAACAGGGCCACCTACGTGGTGCATATCTTTAAAAAAAAATGGACTCAGAGGTTAGGAGATAGCTCAGTACTCAGTGTTTGCTGCACACACATGAAGAACCTGAATTCAATCCTCGGAACCCACAGAAAAAGCTAGACATGGTCTCTCTGCTCATCCCATTTCTGGAAAAGCTTAGCCAAATTGGTGAGCCCTGGGTCCTATTGAGAGACCCTGTCTCAAAAATCAGGGTTGAAAGGGCTTGAGTGATGGCGCAGCAGTTAAGACCTTACCCCTTCCCCATTTATACATATTCAGACATCAAACTCAATATCGCCATGCTTCAGCATCTACGTACTATGATTACAGACATTTTTGTTGTTCTGTTTTTTAGATTAAAAAAAAATAACCTTGTGTGTGCATGGTTTATATGGATGTGGATTCATGTGTGTGGAGGTTGGAGTACAAGTTGTTGTTGGTTTTCTCCTTTGACCATGTGGTTTGAGGTAATTCAATTCAGGTCAGAAGGCTTGTGTGGTGAGTGCCTTTCTCTAGTAGGTCATCTGACTGGCTGTGTTTTTCAGATTTTTGTTTGTTTTTTGTTTTTTTTTGTTTGTTTTTTGTTTTTTTTTTTGTTTTTTTTTGAGATGTGGTTTCTATGTGTAATCTCCTTGGCTATCCTGGAATTTGTACTGTAGACCAGGCTTGTCTCAAACTCACAGAGATCTACCTGCCTCTGCCTCCTAAATTCTGGGATTAAAGGCATGTGCCGCCGCCGCTGCCACCACCACCACCACCACCACCAGGCTCACAAAAGTCTTAATGCTCTAAAAAGAATTTTTTTAGAAAAGATTTATTTATTTATGTGTATACAGTGTATGTATGTCTGCACACCAGAAGAGAATGCCAGATCTTATTATAGATGGTTGTGAGCCACCCTGTGGTTGCTGGGAATTGAACGCAGGATTCTGGAAGAGCCATCTCTCCAGCCCCCCCCCCCCCGAATTTTTAAGTAGTTTACTAAATTATTGTTGGCATCCCATTACTTGGGAGTTAAAGACAGGCAGATAAGGAGTTTGAGGTCATTCTGTGCTGCGTGAGATCCTATCTCAAAAACTGTTCTGGGTTGGCAACCACAGAGATAGTATAGTGAGTAAGGAAACTTGGAAGAAAGCCTGACTATGAGTTTGATTACTGGAACCCATATAGTATAGAGAGAACCAACTCCCATAAGGTGTCTTCTGTCCTTTACATGTACACAGTGACTCACATATCCCAAAAAATAAATTATATTTGCACACACACACACACACACGGTTTTAAATGGTCTGGGGATATAGCATTTTTGGTAGAGTGCTTTTCTAAAATGCATGGAGTTCTGGGCTTAATACCCAACACTATATAAAACTGGTATGTTGGTGTGATGCCATCACTCAAGTACTGGTGGCTGAAGGAAGGGTTAGTTCAAGGTACTCCCTGGGTATAAGATAGTTCCAAGCCAGCCTAGGCCAGAAAGTGCTGTTTCAAGTTAAATAAACAAAAACAATAGAAAGTTTCACAAGTTCAGCTTGACTGCCTTGTTGTTGCCAGCTTAATATATGTCGTTGGATCCTCGTATACTACTGTTATTATTTATTATAGCCCTGCAACTTTTATTTTTTGTTTGTTAAAACAGGTGTGGCAATAACTCTGTGGACCCTGTTTCCATGAATAGACTGAGCTTTTTGAGGAATAGATGCAGGTAAAAATCCTAAGCCGTGAAAATCAAGAGATGGAGTTTTTACTTTCTTTAACACCTCTTACTCTCTTTTACCTCATTGTCACTTATTTTCAGGCAATGTTTCTAAACTTTATTTACTTAGTTTTGTTTTTTCAAGACAGGGTTTCTCTGTGTAGCCCTGACTGTCCTGGAACTCGCTCTGTAGACCAGGCTGGCCTTCAACTCACAGAGATTCTCCTGCCTCTGCCTCCCCAGTGCTGGGATTAAGGCATGTGCCACCACCACCCTGTGGTTCCTGAACTTGAAACGCTTCTCTTGCCTCACTCTGTTTAAGAACGCTGCCTGCTACTTTACCCATTTCCTTCTGTTTTTGTTTTCTTGTGTGTTCTACTTCAACATGGACTAAAAGCTTCGTTATTTTTTGAGTGGGAAGGGACAAACAGTAATTTCTTTTCTGAATATCCAAGAAGCTAAAGTTGAAGACACTTAGGCTTTGTTTCCCTTAACATTTGCTTTGTGTGGGCTTCTGGGATGGCTCCTCTGATAAAGGTGCTCAGTGCCAGACCTGACAACTGAGTTTTTTCTCTGGTGCTCACAGAGTAGAAGGGAAGAGCTGACTCCCAGAGGTTGTCCTCTGACTCCCACACCCACACACATACATGTAGAAACAAACAAGCAAATGTAAAAAAACAAAAACCTAAAGGGAAAAACAAAATACTTTGGCGCTAGCAAGATGGCTTAGCAGATAAAGTCACTTGCTTCGAATTGAGTTCAGTCTTTACAACCCACAAAAGGGTGGATGGAGAGAATGGATTCCAGAGTTGTTCTCTCCTCTGACCTCCAACCTCCACAGGTTGAGGGGGTATATGCAACCCCCACATATCATACACACATGTAGCAGTAATAAATGATTAGATAAATAAGTGAATGAATGAATGCTTTTAAAGGACAAGTTTATTTTGTAGAATTTCCTCTTGATGGCTGTAACTCTTCTAGGAATGGACTTGGCTCTGTGAAGGAAGGAGAACCTCACTTTGTGGTCGTCCACTGCACAGGCTACATCAAGGCCTGGCCTCCAGCAGGTAGGGAAGTTATGTAGTGATTTCTTTCCTGATACACTTGATTGCTTAGAAAATTGTCAATAAAAAAGGGTCTTTTGAGGGGGTGGTGGTGAGGCAGGGTTTCTCTGTGTAACAGCTGAGAAGGTGTTGAGACAGGGTTTCTGTGTGTCAGCTCTGGCTGTCCTGGAATTTTCATCGTAGACCAGGTTGGCCTTGAATTTATAGACATCCACCTGCCTCAGTGCTTGGAGTGCTGGGATTAAGGGCGTGCACCACCACCTCCTGGCTTTTTTTTTTTTTTTTAATGTATCAATGGGGGCTGGAAAGAGGGCTCAGTAGTTGAGAGCACATGCTACTCTTGTAGAAAACCTGGGTTCAGTTCTCAGCAGCCATGTGTTGGGTTATAATCACCTACAACTTCAGTTCCTTGGGATCTGACACCATCTTTTGGCCTCTGCAGGCTCCTGTATACTTGTGGTGCCCCTAAACTCACACAGGCAAACACACACACACATAAAAGTTTCTAAAGTATATTGCTACTATTACTCCTATATATTTATAGTATGTAATATTGCATATAAAGTAGATACGTATTTGTTACTAGTCTAGAATTCCCGAGTTCAAGCAGTTTCCCCACTTCAGCCTCCTCCTGGAATTGCCAAACATGAATTAACATGGGTGCCTAGAATTCAGGCATTAGGGCTAGGAATATAGCTCATTAGTAGAGTACTGGCCTGGTAGATTAAGGACCAAAAAAAAAAAAAAAAAAAAACCAGAACAAAATGAATAAGCAAATTTGAGACAGGGTCTCTCCATGTAGCCCTGGCTGTCCTGGGAGTCTTTATATTGACCATGCTGGCCGAAGACTCACAGAGACCCACTTGCCTTTGCCTGTTAAATGCTAGGATTAAAGGTGTGCCACCACTGTGTCCAGCTTGAATCATTAGAATTTAACGCAATTTAATTTTGGAAAACTGAAATGGGAGTGAGGCTTTGAGGGAGGTAAAGAAAATGGCTTGATTTCAGCAACTTTAAAGGGACTTTTCTCCTGAAAGACTAGCTGTGAGTAGAGTAATTTTATTTGAATTTGGTATTAAATAGGGGATGTAGCAAAGGTGGTAGGGTGTGTGGATCAGATTTTTGTTTTGTTTTAATACCTTGAACTCAAGGCTTCTACCACTACCCCACAACTGCCAGGATTGCAGGCTTGATTCTCTATGCTTAGCAAGATCAGCTTTTTAAATCGACTGTCAAGAGTTTCCAAATCTTACCTTATTATTTCCCCACTGGAAGAGTATTATTGGGAAATGAGAATTTACAGAAGCCAGAAGTTCAGAGAAAAGAGAGACGAGTTTTAATTATTATTTATTTTATGGGTATGGGTGTTTTGTCTGCATGTATGCCTGGGAGCCACCTGTTTGCCTGGTACCCACAGAGGCCAGATGTGGGTGTCAGATTCCCTGGGACTGGAGTTACAGACAGTTGTGAGCTGCCATGTGGATGCTGGGAATTGACCCTGGGTCCTCTGGAAGAGCAGCTTAACCACTGAGCCTTTTCTGAGCCCGCACTGATACATTTTAAGATGAATTAACATTGATTTGGGAAATCGTACATTTGCTTTCTGGCATTATATTAATAGTTTAACTTATGGTACATTACTTGATTTTACATCAGTTTTCTCATCTATAATTTGAGATAATATATCCTGTATATCATTGTTATGAGAATTTGATTTAGTGTAAGAAAAGCACACAGCCTAGTTCCTGGCACATATCATATATCTAATAAATGGGAATTAATATAATTGAGAAAAGTTAATCTAAACTATTATACAAAATGACACATGAACTTTTTAGTCAACTTATATATAAATCATACAGTTAATGTATGTATGATACTTTGTTGGGTCTAATAAAGGCTTGCAATCCTTATTTCTGAATAGCTATTAATAAAATGGTTTTTTTTCTGGATAAAAGTGAGAGATAAAGAAGATGTGAGGGATGAACTCTTCTTCCCCTTTTCTGTGAATATGAGTATCTTTTGTTTTGAATAATTAAATTTTTGTTAATTTTAAAAGTTACTGGTAAGGCAGGTATGTTTACTTCTCTGTGTATAAATACACAGCATAGTAAAGTTTATGTTTTTAGATGTCTTTGGCTGGGACTTGTATTTTCCAATTTGTTACAATTAAAATATTGCAACCAGGTATGTGGTTCATGCCTGTAATTCTACCATTGGTAAGCAGAATGAACAGTCAAGGTTACAGATACAAAAGTTCCATTTAAGACAGTTATACTCAGTCTTAAAAAGAAAAAGAAAAAACAAACACAAAGTAATGACTGACATATATAATATAATAAAGTCTGTATGATTGATTACCTTTTTAAAAATCATTTTATATTTAGCATCTTCATACAGAAATGTATTGGTGAGCTTGTAGTCACTTGCCTTTAAAGGTATTGGGTTTGAGATGTCTCTGAGTCATGCTTCTTTTCCTTCATGAAGGTGTCTCCCTCCCGGATGATGACCCAGAGGCTGGCCAGGGGAGCAAATTCTGCCTAGTGGCCATTGGCAGGCTGCAGGCAAGTATGAGTCGTCACATCTCTGTCCCTTTCAGATGAGGAAAAAAATCTTTCCAGGACTTATTTGTGTGTGTGTGGGTTTTTTTTTTTTTTTTGGTTTTTCAAGACAGGGTTTTTCTGTATTGTTTTGGAGGCTGTCCTGGACTCTCTGTAGACCAAGCTGGCCTCGAACTCACAGAGATTCTCTTGCCGCCGCCCCCCCTCCGTGCTGGGATTAAAGGCGTGTGCCACCACCATCCAACTTTAGAAGTATTTTTTAATTTATTTTTTATTTTATGTTTATGGGTATTTTGCCTTCATGTATGTCTGTGTACCACTTGCATGCCTGGTGCTTGAGGAGGCCAGAAGAAGACATTGGATACCATGGAACTGGAGTTTTTGATCTGCCATGTGGGTGCTAGAACTTGTGTAGGCAGACTTTTCTGTCCCACCAGCCAGTTCCCAAATAACCGCATAGAGACTCAATATTAATTATAAATGCTTACCCAATAAGTTAGGCTTTTTTTTTTTTTCAGTTTTATGAGACAGGGTTTCTCTGTATTGTTTTGGAGGCTGTCGGTCCAGCCCGGCCTCGAACTCACAGAGATCCGCCTGCCTCTGCCTCCCGAGTGCTGGGATTAAAGGCATGCGCCACCACCGCCCAGCTAAATTAGGCTTGTTTTTAGCTAGTTCTTAAACTTAAATTAACCCATTTCTATTAATCTGTGCTGCCCTGAGACTCGTTTACTTCATGTAGGTACTTCTCATCCTGCTCACTCTGTAGTCTCATGGCATCTCCTCTGACTCCACCCTCCTCCTCCTCCTCCTCCTCCTCCTCCTCCTCCTCCTCCTCCTCCTCCTCCTCCTCCTCCTCCTCCTCCTCCTCCTCCTCCTCCTCTTCCTCTTCTTCCTCCTCCTCCTCCTCCTCCTCCTCTTCTTCCTCCTCCTCCTTTTCTTCTTCTTCTTCTTCTTCCTCTTCCTCCTCCTCCTCTTCCTCTTCTTCCTCTTCTTCTTCCTCCTCCTTCTTCTTCTTCTTCCTCTTCCTCCTCCCTTTCCCCTCTCCCCCTCCCCCTTCCCACATCCTCCTAGTTTGGGTCTCTCTTCCAATCTCTTCCTGCCCAGCCATAGGCCAGTTAGCTTTTTATTAACCAATGAGAGTAATACATATTTGCAGTGTGCAAACATTGTTCCACAGCATTTCCCCCCTTTTATCTAATTAAAAAGAAAGGTTTTAACTTCAACATAGTAAAATTATATACACCAAAATCAGTTATCAAGATACAGTATCCAATCCATTTGTATTTGGTAAGATTAAAGAAAATACTATTTGTCTTATCTTTGTGAGTCTAAAGTTTTGTACCTAATTTGCCTTTTATCATCACTAAGGAAAACTTTTTAAGTCTAATTTAGTCTTTAACTTCATTACTTAACAACAGGGACACCTGGCTGCCTGGACAGATATTCTTCTGTAATGTTGAGGCATCTACCATTGGCCTACAGGCCTAGTGTATCTGACAGACATTTCTGAGGAGCAGGAAATCTTGAAGTATCTTGGCAAAGTTTGGCAGTCCCCTTTTTTGTGTCTTGCTTGTCCAGTTTGGACAGTACACTGTCAGCAATTGAGGCAAGGGCAGTTTCTTGCCCAAATGGCTAGCTTTTTGCCAAAAAAGAAAGCAAGCTCCATATGGAGTTTCTTCTATGCCTATCATCTTCTTTTGAACTAAATTGTGCTTGTGTCACTGTCAAGAAAAGTCTTAGGTTATTAAAACATCTTAAATGCTATATTCTGTAGATCTTTGAAATGATTGAAGATCATCTATCTAAATATATCTGTTTAACCTTGTAAGCATACCTTATATGACTGCAAGTTTGATCATTATAAATGACCAACTACAATAAATGACCTGTCTTTATTGTCTTAAATAGCCTTCAAGGACTAAAACTTTACATTACATTTTTAAATGAACTGCATAGATACCATACCTTAAACAAGAGTAGAAACATGTATACAGTATAGCAAAAATAATGTTAAATTTGTATCAGTATACAAAAAGCCATACCAATGAAAAATATTTGAGACTAGTGGTTGTTCAAAAGTAGACTTAACAATCTACCCTTTTGTCCCATCATTTGTATACTGTAATTCCCCCTTTTCCCTTCAGAAATAGATCCCTGAATCTAATCTCCTTTGCTTAGTTTTTTTCCTGACTATGACCAATAACACCTTGTAACCAACTTCTCTAAATGATGGCAAACATCCATAACTCACCAAATGACCAAAAACTACCTCTTGGGAATGTGGACATCATGTTTCCTAGACTTCTTCCTCTTGTTTGGGGGTGACAGCATCTTCAGGGGCCCTGAGAACATTAGGATAATGGTCAAGTCCTGGAGAACTAGCTCTATTATTTTTTGTTTAGTCTCTCTGTGATGGGAAAGTATACAGCTTATCTGAAGTCTTGGCTGGATAGTCTGTGAGGCTGGGCCATCTTAGCTAGCAACTTTGAAGATGTTCTGGATGCAGAATTTTGAGGAAACTGCAATAAAAGTATTCTGAGAGACTGAATCACTTGGGGAACTTGTCTTCATTGGTGTCTGGTCCTTTTTTTCTGAAAATATAAACTTTTAAAGATAACATACATCGCCGGGTGGTGGTGGTACACGCCTTTAATCCCAGCACTCGGGAGGCAGAGGCAGGCGGATCTCTGTGAGTTCGAGGCCAGGCTGGACCGACAGCCTCCAAAACAATACAGAGAAGCCCTGTCTTGTTAAACCAAAAAAAAAAAAAAAAAAAAAAAAAAAAGATAACATATATCTGCATTAACACATATAAGGAATATGTGGTGTGCACAAGTCATTTAAAGATTTTTTTTCTACGTTTGATCAGGTAGAAGGCATCTGTTAACTTTATAAGTCTGTTTGGACTGTATAACCAAACCTTCATCCATGTCATATGAAAAGATGGCATGTAATAATAAGTCATGGAGACTCTGTAGCCAACAGGATTTATCATGTCTCATCCAGTCTCAGAGCTGTTCCCACAGTAGAGGGATCAGCTTATATGTTACCTGTCTTGTAGTCTTTCTCGGTTTCTTTAATCATGTATGTAGCCAAGATTTTCAGGAGGTTTCCCCCAATCAAATCTGATCTTTATTAATTTCGAAGAGAAGCATGACTTTTTGTTTCCTGTGGAAACAAAGGCATAACCTCTTCCCCAATGCAACACATTTCCCAACTCCCATTCTGAAGTCAAGACATCTCTAACGTATCTAGGCTGGTTTAATTCAGCAGTGCCTTTCATAATCCAGTGTCTCTCAGCAGCTGCCATTTTCACTTATCAGCATTCACAGAAGTGAACAAAGCACCATACAGGGCCCAGATTCTCTGTGCATTTCCCATCTTTACGTGGCTCTTTTCCTTTCTATCACTGTACTCTTTCTTTAAAGACTTTCATTTTTTCCTATGACTGCCTATAACCATTATTTTTGTTGTTTTCCCTTTTTTTTCTTTTTTCTTTTTTGGTTTTTCGAGGCAGGGTTTCCCTGTGTAGCTTTGGAGGCTGTCCTGGAACTAGCTCTTGTAGACCAAGCTGGCCTTGAACTCACAGAGATCCGCCTGCCTCTGCCTCCCAATTGCCCTAGTATTTACTGTATCTGTTTAAAGGTTTTCTCATTCTGGACCACTTTATTGTGCATCTGCAGCCTTCTCTGACCATGTGAGCCAAACTTTAAACCCACCATGTGGCTCTGCACATGGAGCTGGACAACTCAAACCTTCAGACAATAGCCAGGAACCACATCTCTCTACACTGCAGCCTGCCTGAGAGACTGCAGACTAGGAAACTGTATCTGACTCTGTGTTTGTGTGTTTGGAACTTTCCTTTTTAAGCTTTCTCAGGTCCTGTATGGAAATATGTGTCCCATGTTGGACACCATATGTAATGAGTCTTTTTCTGTCCTATCAGCCAACTCTCAAAAAATGACACAGAGACTTATTAATTATAAAAGCTCAGCCAATAGCCTAGACTTGTTTTTAGCTAGCTCTTTTTTTTTTTTTTAAGTTTTTCGAGACAGGGTTTCTCTGTATTGTTTTGGAGGCTGTCCTGGAGCTCACTCTGTAGACTTAGCTAGCTCTTATAACTTAAATTAACCCATTTCTATCAATGTGACCTGCCTTGTGTGTACTAGGCAGATCACATTAAGTTAAATTAACTTAATTCACTTGTATTAATGTGACCTGCCATGTGGGTGCTAGAACTTGAACCCAGGACCTCTGGTAGAGCAGCCAGTGCTTTTAACCACTGAGCCATCTTTAGCCTCTTGATTTTGATTCTTTTCCTGCACACAGACTAACCAAATAAAAAGTAGCATGTTTAGGGTTGCATTCAACATTTTCTTACTTTACTAACTTGGTAAAGAGAACATGTGTAGTAATAGAGCTAGACTTTATGCCTCTCATTGGGATTGCCATTTTTCATTTCTGGATGAAACACTTACGAGTTCCTAAATTTAATAGTCTTATATTTACATATATACTCATGAAGAAAATGTTTCTGTAAGTAAAGGATTTATTTTGGCTCATTTTTATCTCTCCATTCTTAGGTAACAAGTTCTCCCAACTGTACAGACATGAGTAATGTTTGTCAACCAACAGAGTTCATCTCCCGACACAACATTGAGGGGATATTCACTTTTGTAGATCATCGCTGTGTGGCTACTGTTGGCTATCAGCCGCAGGTGAGAGTCTAGTTCCTACAGTTGATACTTAGGCTTCTGTTTTCTGTTGCGAGTGTTGAGGTTACATGGCTATCTAATTCCAGGGATGACCAAAATATAGTAGTCCAGTTCAGAAAAAAAAAAGAGATGCTCTTATTTTGCTAATAGCAAAATCTAGTTTCAATTTCTACCAAGACTATCACCCCATATAGAGAAATATAATTTGTGAAACCACATGAAAATAGTAAGTATAAATACATACTTTTTTTGGTTTTTGTTTCGGGTTTTTTTGTTGTTGTTGTTTTGGTTTTTGGGTTTTGGATTTTCGAGACAACTCTGTGTAGTTTTATAGACCAGGCTAGCCTTGAACTCACAGAGATCCATTTGTCTCTGCCTCCTAAGCACTGGTTTAGAGGTGTGTGTCACCACTGCCCGGCCTTTATACTTACTTTGTATTTCTGACATTAATATAGATAACTCAAAACTACTTATTTTAATTATTCTAGTGTAACAATTCTTATTTAGGTTATTTATATAATTGTTAATGGAATAATAGCCTGTAATAATAGCACTAGTTAATTATAATATTCTCATGCAGTATATCAGTTAACTGTCCCTCATGTATATGACCTCTGTGATCTGTATAATCCTGGCTATAAGTATTTGAAATGGTCAGTGAAGACGTCTTGAAAATGAAGAACTAAGTTGGAGGATTTACTTACATTCCTGATCCACCGCTTTCTGTAAAGCTGTTATGAAGGAAGTGTGGCGTTAATATAGGGAGATGTTAATTTCCTGATCTATTCTGATGAGTGGCCAGAAGAGAGCCTTTTTTTACATTCATGGTCATTGGATTTTCAGCAAAACTGCTTAAACATTTCCAGGGGAAAAGGTCTAACAAATGGTAGTGTAGATACTAGATTCCATATACACTACCACCACCCCCTAGAAATCATACCATAGACAACAATTAACTCAAAGTTCTAAATGTATAAGTACTAAAGTTGGAAATAAGCTTCTAGAAGAAAATCTTTGTGTGTGCACATAAATAAGAAGGCCAGGGCATAATCTTGGGGGCTCACCAGGTTCCATTTGTCTTTTCATTTTGAGGCAAGATCTCTTATCTTGGCCTGAAAACTGAAAAGCAGTCTAGGCTTGCTGGCCACTGAACTCCAATAATCTACCTGTCTCTGGTTCCTCTGGGATTGTGAGAATGTACCACAGTTGACTGATTTTACTTTTTATTTTTATTTTTGAAACAGTGTCTCACTATGTAGCTTTGGCTGTATTGTAACTCTCTATGTAGACCAGACTGATCTCAAACTCAGAGATCTACCTGCCTCTGCCTCCCTGGTGCTCAGAGTAAAGGTATACACTTGCATGCCTGGCTATTTTTATATTATGTATATGTGTGAGTACCTGAGTATATGTATGTACACCATGTATTTACCTGGTATCACAGAGACCAGAAGAATGCATAGGATCCCCTGGAACTGAGTTCCATGTAGTTAGAACACTGTCTTGATAGCGACTGCTTCATAGGAAGTATTGGATCAGGGATTATAAATCGTCCAACTTGGTTCTTCACTTTTAACTGCCTGGTATATGATCTTTTCAAGAGCAAGAAGTGCTCTTAAGGGATGAGCTATTTCTCCCGCCTCACCTGGATTCCCACACTTTCTTGAAAATGTATATTCTAACGACCAAACTTAAGTCCTCATGCTTGCAAGGTATGAATGCTCTCTTTCTTTTCCTGTCTTTTTTTTTTTTTTTTTTTCTCTTCCTGAGATAGGTTTTCTTCCTAGGCTAGCCTCAAACTGGAAATCTTTCTGTCCCAGCCTTCTGAAATGCTGAAATTTATAGAGTATGCCTGGTAAAAACAAAAAACAAAAAAACAAAAAACCCTCTAAACTGATTGTAAGAGAGCTAGTAAGATGACTTTGTGAGAAAAACTCTTCATTTTTGGTTGTTCTGTTACAGTCTACAATTACAAGTGTGCATGCATGTCCCTTAGAATGCAACAGGAGTTAAGAGGACAACTTGAAGGAGTCAGTTCTCTCCACCATGTGGGTTCCAGAGATGGAACTCAGCTCACCAGGCTTCCTGGAAAGTACTCATTGCACTGTCTCACTGGCTCTGTCTTCTTTTGTTTGTTCCCTTTTTCCCTCCATACACCTGTTTATAGTAGGATAAAGAAAAGAAATAACGTTTACATCTGTAGCTGACAGATGTAAAAGTGTATTTTTTACTTTTCTCTCTCCTAGGAGCTCTTAGGAAAGAATATTGTAGAATTTTGTCACCCTGAAGATCAACAGCTTCTAAGAGACAGCTTTCAACAGGTAACCTTTCTGCTGGTTTGGGGCTGAGTACATACTTCTGATCAGTGTTCATTTAAACACTGTGGTGCATACTTTTCTTTATACTGAGCTTATAGTTTAATAAATAGAAAATGGTAATAATTTGAAACTAGATAAAGTCCAAGGTGTTTCTACTGGGCTTTAGCTACTTCATGTCTTCTGTTCAGCTAACTGTATCCAAGAAATTGTCTTCAAAGCATTTAAAGTATTACCTGTTTCTCTGAATTCTTTACTTGTAACTAGTTGTAATTCTCAGGCCGGAGCTTCTGAAAATACTTGGCGAAAATAATAGACTTGGCTTTAGATAGCTATTTATATTTTATAAGTTAATTCCATCTCTATAGTGATCTTAACTATCCAATGGGTATAATGATACTTAAAGGTAGAAGCTCGTGGGAGGATTACATAAGGTATTGCCATAAAGCACATGTAGCCCAGTGTTTGCCACATAATAAAGTGTTAGTTGCTAATATTCTCTATTATTAGAAATGGAGAACTAAAAGATTGTCTTCTGTTCCATAAGACCAGGAACTAAAACACTGATAAAACTGAGGCTTCCTGTAAGGGTTTTGTGGAAAGTAAGATTCTCAAGTTTTGAGAGCTGGGATTGATAAATAATGTATAAAATGTATTTGGTGTCACCAAACTGGAATTCCTGGTAAAGACTTGCAAAACCAGTTTGTTAACTGTCTGCAGTAAACTTCAAGGGAAACACAGAGACAGTCTCCTCTGTGTTCCATCTTGACTATACAGTCATACAGTCTGTGGCTTGGGAAGATAGATACTTGATAGATGAATGTCCCCTTAATTTCCTCTTTCTCTTGTTTGACCATTGAATAGACAGGTGCTTCGTGGGCAATTACACAAGAGTCCTGAGGTCCTGAAAGTGGGAAGGTTATTACTTAACTCTCTTCCTTTTAAGTCCACTGATGGCTGAAAACCCTTTCAGGTGGTGAAATTGAAAGGCCAGGTGCTGTCTGTCATGTTCCGATTCCGATCTAAGAACCGAGAATGGCTTTGGATGAGAACCAGTTCATTTACTTTCCAGAACCCTTATTCGGATGAAATTGAGTATATTATCTGTACCAACACCAATGTGAAGTATGTACTCTTCTGTCTTTTTCTCTTGTTGGGTTTCTCCTGTGGCTACCCCTGGAATGGGGCGTGGGTTGGGACAGGGCAAGTCTTAGCCTTATCAAGGTATCTCCTCTTCAACTTTGATTTATGAAATACCATCAGTTTGAGATTCCTCATTTAAAAGATTTCTATAGGATTTGATATAGTCAAGGTGGGTTTTGTTTGCTGTTGACATCTGTTTAATTTGTGTGTATCATGCTGGCATGAAACAGAACGCGTATGAACATTAGAGGAGAACCTGAGGGAATGGTTCTGTCTTCAACAAGTGGGCTCCGGGCATGGAACTCAGGTTGTCAGCCTGGGGGCAAGCACCTTTTCCTACCAAGCCATCTCCCTGGCTCACGGTAGAGTGAGTTTTCATAAGCAGTAGTAGTTTATGCTATAGGCAGTGCCCATACCTGCTGCCTGCTGCAGTGTACTCAGTAAACTTATTTCTATAAGAGATTGTAAATAAAATTAAAACAGTAGTTCAAAGATTAGTTCTTGAGATAGAAAGGTTCTCATTTTAATTTTCTAAATTTGATTTACTTAGTAATAATTTTACTTGTTCTTTCTTTTTTTAATATTTTATTTATTTTTTATGTATACCATCCTCTGCCTGCATGCCAGCAGAGGGCATCAGATCTCATTCGAGATGGTTGTGAGCCACCATGTGGTTGCTGGGAATTGAACTCAGGACCTTTGGAAGAACAGTCAGTGCTCTTAACGGCTGAGCCATCTCTCCAGCCCTAATTTTATTTTTTCTTAATTAGTTAATTACTTATTATTCTGGTTAAACTCAGGGATTTGCAGAAAGTAGGTAAAGTGATGTACCTCTGAATTGTTTCCCTACCTCAGGTGTTTTTGAAGGGTTTCGTTATTTGTTTTTTAGCCAAGATCTTGGTATGTAGTCCTGGCTGGTCTGAAACTCTATTTGTGGACCAGGCTGGCACTGAACTCACAGAGATCCACCTACCTCCCTAAGTGCTGGTAGTTAAAGGTGTGCTACATTCGGCCCTGCCAATGTTTTGCTCTAGTCTAGGAGGATTTTCATCTAGAACAAAGTTGGGCAAACTTTTCTATGAAGGACAGGATAGTAAATATTTCAACCTGGTCTAGACCATCTGATCTTTACTGCAACTACTCAGTTCTGCTGTTGTATGAAAACAGACACAGAAATGACGTGACTGTGTTCCTATAATTTTTATGTATAAAATGGGTGATGGATTAAAGTTGATCCATGGATCAAGGCTTACTGTAGAGCATAATAACATCACACTCTTATTAATTTCTGTTCCTTTTTCTGAGCTTGCTTTTTGTTGTTGTTGGTCTTGTTTTGTTTTTGTTTTTTTGTTTGAGACAAGGCCTCTCTATGCAGTCCTGAATGATGTGAAACTCATTAAGTAGACCAGACTGGACTTGAACTCACAGTAGTCATTATTCTTCTGCCTCATGAGTTCTAGGATTATAGGTATGCTCCACCATGCCAAGCTTCAGCTCTATTATGAGTGTTTTGCCTACATGTATCTCTTTGCATTACATATGTGTATGATGTCCTCAGAGGTTAGAAAAAGGGGATCAAATTCCTTGGAATTAGAGTTGGAGACAGTTGTGAGAAGCCATGTGGGTACTGGGAACTGAACCTGGGTCCTTTGCAAGAACAGGAAGTGCTCTTAACCACTGAGCCATCTCTCTGTCCCCTAGCTCTCAGCTTTTTTAAAAGTTTGCTTGAAATACATTGCACAGGCCATATATCCCAACCATTACACAGACACTTTTTAGTTTAGTACGCAGTTGTGCAACTCTTAGAACCATCTATTTTCACAACATTTTTCATCACTACCCAGACCCTGAGCCCACTAAAATTGTCTATTCTCCCCTTTCCTCTGAAGTCTTAAACATCTAATTTACTATCTCTGTAAATCTGCTTATTTTAGAGATGTGTAAATCACAGAATGGTTCCTTTGTGAGTGGTCTTACTGTTTGCTGGGTCAACCATGAGGTAGTATGTTAGTATCTCATTGTATTGTTGGTTCTGTGAATTAATACTCCATTTTATGGACATAGCATTGTTTTTTTTTAATTTTCATATACTATGTTCTGATCACACTTCTCCCTCTCCCAGCTCCTTCTAGCTCCTTCCCACATACCCAACTCCATGCCCTTTCTTTCTCTCAGCACACACACGCACACGCACACACACACACACACACACACACACACACACACACACACACACACACAGAGACCAAAATAATATAGCAAAAGATGAATAAGACAAAAAAAGATGTCCAAACAGCAATGTGAGACAAAACGTCTTCAAAAATACCACCAAGTACACTTATGTTGGCCAGCTACTCATAGACAAGTGTCATATTCTGAAGTAAAGTGTGGTTAATACACCTAGTGAGACTCCATTGGAGAAAACTATTTTTTCTTTGCAAGAGAGTATCAGTTGCAGATAGTGTCTTGGTTGGGGTGATGCACTAAATATGGAGAGCCCATTGTATTCATCAGTTGATGAACATTGTGTTATTTCTACTATCTTGCTATTCAGAATGAAGCACAAATATTCTTATGATAGTTTGTGTCATCTTGGAACTCACTGTGTAGACCAGGCTGCTGGCCTCAAACTCACAGAGATTCATCTACCTTTGCAGACCTCCAAGTGCTGGGATTAAAGATGAACATTGCATGCCAGCTTCAGCTTACTTTTTTTTTTTTGAGACAGGGTTTCTCTATATTGTTTTTTGGACCATGTCCTGGAACTCGCTCGGTAGACCAGGCTGGTCTCGAACTCACAGAGATCCGCCTGCCTCTGCCTCCCGAGTGCTGAGATTAAAGGCGTGCGCCACCACCGCCCGGCTTCAGCTTACTTTTTAAAGATCAAATTGTTAACAGGGTGTAATGGTGTACAAGAGGATCCTTGTGAATCTGAGGCTACCTAGAGCATTGGTTTTCAACCCGTGAGTCATAACTCCCGGGGCCACAGGGGTTACTTGTCGGATATTTACATTACAATTCATAATAGTAGCAAAATTACTGTTATGAAGTAGCAGCAATAATAATTTTATGGTTAAGGTCACCACAACATAAGGAACTGTAATAAAGGGTCACAACATTAAGAAGGTTGAGCACCACTGACCTAGAGAGTTCCAGGACAGTCAGGGATACATAGAGATACCCTGTCTTTAAAAAAAAGGGGGGGGGGCAGAAAGATCAAACTGTTCTAATATCTACATTGATTTCAGTTGCAATGTTAAAACACACTTTATGGGCACACGCTTTCACAACACCCAGGTGTCAGTAGCTGGAAGGAGTTAGAAAGCAAGTGGGCTGGGGCATGTTTGTGATCTCAGTCCTTGGAGGGAGGAAGAGGTGGTGATCAGAAACTAAAAGTCACCGTACTTCTGAGTTTAAGCTAGCCTGGGCTGTGGAAACCCTGTTTCAGAACAACAACAAATAAAAACAGAGTGAGCCCTTGTTTCTTAGGGCATAGTTTCAGTTAGTACTGTGTTGTCCATAGCATAATTTTTTTTTCCTGGAACCAAGTTCATAGGTTGCCTATGGGGCTGTACTTTGTAAACAAAGGTCTGTTAGTGATTGCCTCCCCTTACAGGTCAGTATATGGAGTTTATTGTATTGAGTCATCTCTTGTTTCCCGTTCCTGTGTTCTTGTCTATTTTCCTAGGAATGCTAGCCAGGAACCACGGCCTACACTGTCTAACACAATCCAGAGGTCACAGCTAGGTCCAACAACCAATCTATCACTAGAGATGAGTACAGGGCCGCTGGCCTCCAGGTGAGAAATGGGGAAGTTGTGAAGTTTTGTGCAATCACTAGCAGAGTGTGCTGATGGGCAGTCACATTTCTTGTTGTTGCTGCATATGGCTTATTGTTTAAAGGCACTTTCTCCAAATTCTTTGTTAAAAATCTTTTTCCCTATTGCTTTCCACACTGATATTTGACATATAGGCAGCAGCAGCAGCAGCAGCAGCAAACAGAATTGGATATGGTACCAGGAAGAGATGGGCTGACCAGCTATAACCATTCCCAGGTGGGTGTGTGTCTTCTTCTGTAAGAGGACAGTGAACATTTCTTTAACATGTATCTCGAAGCTGGCAAGATTGGTTAGTGGTTAAGGGAGCATTGCTTTTGCAGAAGACCCAAGTTCAGTTCCTAGTACCAACGTTGGGTGTCACAACTACCTGTGAGTTTAGTTGCAGGTCTGATGCCTCTGACCTCTGTAGGCACTATATTTTCATGTATACACACACACACACATAATTAAAAAGATAAAAATTAATCTTAAAAACTCCCAGAACCAATAAAAATATGTTTTATATGAAATTGAGTATTATTGAATTGCTACATTAACCATTACTGATTGTTTTCATTATTTTATTCCCTAGGTTTCTGTCCAGCCTGTGGCAACTACAGGAGCAGAACACAGCAAGTCCCTTGAAAAGTCAGATGGTCTCTTTGCCCAGGACAGAGATCCAAGGTTTTCCGAAATCTATCCCAACATCAGTGCAGGTACAGCTTCCTTCCTCAGACTCCTTTTGCAGCCTTAATTTTGATTATCACTGTTTGGACTGCTTCTGCCCATTGGTAGTCTCCAGCATACTTCCACTTAAACTACGTGCTTCATGAGTAAATAGGAATTTATTTAACTATATACTACAGCCCCTTGATGGCCCTCCCCCAACTCCTTTTGGTCCACAGATCAGAGTAAAGGCATCTCCTCCAGCACTGTCCCTGCCACCCAACAGCTATTCTCCCAGGGCAACTCATTCCCTCCTAACCCCCGGCCGGCAGAAAATTTCAGGTGAGCCCCATATGTGTGTGCTGCTTGACAGGGCTCTGCGGGGTTCACTTGCTGAACCCACATGCCATTCTTCCCTTGCTTTCTCTGGTCGTTTCAGACAGAGCAGTAGAACTTACGGAACCTAGGGTGAGACACAGAAGCTGCTTTTTTCCTCCTATTTTTTTGCACCTGTTCTATTGCCTTGTTGTAGGGTCCATCTCTCTGTGTGGTCAGTGTGTGACTGTCAGTCTTTCTTATGTTTTTCAAATTTATCAGGTTTTCCTTAGCGCCAAGGAAATCAAAGGGATCTAGGGAAAGAATTTGGTTGTCTTTTGACTCTTAACTTCCTTGATAGATCACCTTTGAATCCTTTGTTTCTCTATTTGTTCCTCCTAGGAATAGTGGTCTGACCCCTCCTGTAACCATTGTCCAGCCATCATCTTCTGCAGGGCAGATGTTGGCCCAGATTTCTCGTCACTCCAACTCTACCCAGGGAGCAGCTCCAACTTGGACCCCGAGTACCCGTCCAGGCTTCTCTGCCCAGGTAAAGCCTCTCATGTATCTGACCTGTATGCTGTTTTTTGTTTGGTGGGGTCTTTTTCCCTACAGGTAAATTTATTATTGTCATCTTAGATACCTCCTCTCCAATCCCTGTTCTTGATCTTACCTATAATTTTCATGTTTGTTGAGAGCAGCCAGATAATTAAAATACCAGATTTACACTTCCAAAATCTCATTGGTGCTCTGGTTTTGACATAGTCACCTCAAGTCAGAGTTGCTCATTCAGAGCAGTTTAAACAGCTTTGATTTCAGGCATCTTTAGAGTAAATTCAGAGTTGTCTTTGTTTAGGACTATGTAATATAGTATCAAAGTAGAAAATTAGTAATTATATTCATTGACTATTTGTTAAAATTGTGAAAAATCTTGGTATAGTATCTATGCATATAATATTAGTGACTATGTTAGGCTTATTTCTCTTGTGTAAATAACATTTTAGAAAAGGGGAAAAATGAAAACTCAAATCAGGCTCCAGAATTGTTCCATATATATATATAAACAATTGTGTAAAAATACACAGAAAGTCATCCATTTCTCCTTTGGCCAGGATGAGCATTGATGTTGAAGACCGTCATTAGCATCACTATCAGTGCTTTGATATAATCAAGCATGCATATATTGGCTCCCTAGCAGTTACTTTAAAGATTGTGATATTTATCAATGTCTGTAGAAATAATGATTCCACCTGGGTGGTGGTGCACGCCTTTAATCCCAGCATATGGGAGGCAGAGGCAGGCAGATCTCTGTGAGTTCAAGGCCAAGGTCTACACAGAGAGTCCCTGTTTTGAAAAATCAAAGGGAATAAAAAGAAATTATGATTGCATGAAATGTTGAGGCAGTGACTAGTTTCTGAGTCAATAAACTGACAGTACACAACTGTAATCCCAACATAGAAGAGGCTGAGACAGGAAGATGGTGCATTGAAGACCTGCCTGGGCCACCTAGAGATAAACTGTCTCAGAAAAGGAACAGAGTGAGAACAAAAACTGCAGCGGAGAATAAAAGCAGAGAGATGTCCTCAGGATCAGCCACACGCCTCTCCTGCTGAGGGTCATAAAGAGGCTTCGTTTCTGGGTTTGTTTTTTCTTTTTGAAGCAGAAGTGGAGTTTTTATTAAAAGACTCTTTAAATACAGATTTAAGCTGAAATTCAAGAGCAAAAGAGAAACACTCAGATATAGCTGTGTGTGGACAAGAACTTCCCTAAGCCTTGTCATCAAACTCTTGTATACTGCACGTATGTCCCAGTAAAAGGAAAGATGACACTCTTCAGGAGAAGCTAGGACTGTAGGGAAGGCAGATGGAGGAGATGATGCAGGGGTTTTTCTCTATAGAACTCTACTTTTGGGACTGGGGAGATGACCTTAATGATAAAATGCTTGTCACTCAAACCTGATGGCCTAAGTTTAATCACGAAGACCCACTTCGTGGGAAAAGAGAACCAACTCCTGTGTTATCTTCTAACATCCATGCTCATGCATGCTTGTGTTCACATGTGTGTGCATACTCATGCACTCTAAGTAAACGTGAAAAAGAAAATTAAATCAGGTATGATAGAAAGTACCTGGATTCCCAGGACTGGGAAAGTGGAGACAGACGGCTCCCTAGAGGTGCCAGCCAATTAGTCCAGCCACATGAGTGAGCTGCAGGGTCGGTGAGAGACCCAGGCTCATAAATAAGGTGGAAGCCAGGAGGTAGAGGTGCACACCTTTAGTCCCAGCACGTGAGAGGCCAGAGGCAGGTGGATCTCAGTGTGTTCCAGGCCAACCTGATCTACACAGAGAAACTCTGCCTCAAAAAACAAAACAAAAAAATAAAATAGAGAGTAATAAAGGAAGACACCCAACATAACACCTGGCTTCTATACATGTGTGTACATGCACCCACTTACCACAGATATGTATGTGAGCATACATGTAAGGTGGAGAGCAACTGAGGAAGGCGCATTGATCTTTGGTTGCTATGTTGTGTTTGTGCACTTGCATACAAATACAATTTATAGCATGTTTTCTGTTCTCATAATTTTATGAGCTCGTTATATGTAAAAATGGGTTTGCTATACTTTTTTCATGTATGTTTATAATGTATGTTGACCATAACCTCTTGTTCTACTCTGGACTCACTGATACCTCTTCCTCTTGTCAACCAGCCCCTATTCTACTTCAATGTATTTTTTCCTTGTTTCGTGATCCAGTGAACTTAGTTAACTAATTGTTATTGTATTTATTAAACCTATAACTCTTTGCTTTTTGTACTTTTAGTTGCCTAAAAAAATAGTTTTAGCAGGAATTGGGAGTTCGTCAGAAGTATACAGTTAGAGACAGGTGATGAGTTGTGTTCAGGCGAATAGAGTGGTTAATGAGTGTTGACTCATAGTGATGAAGTACACAATATTTCCCTCATTCGGTATCCCCCTTTCTTTGTCAGGTGCCCAGCCAGGCTACAGCCAAGACTCGTTCTTCCCAATTTGGTGTGAGCAACTTTCCGACTTCATCCTCGTTCAGTGCTGTGTCTCTCCCGGGAACTCCCTCTTCATCACAGGGCACTGCTGCCTACCCTACCCTCACCAACCGTGGATCCAACTTCCGTAAGTTCAAACAAGAAAACATAGCAGGAAAATCTACTGCTAAAGAAAGAGGATTTGGTAGTTAGCATTGTGTCCCTGTAATCTTTATGTGCTGACCTAATTATAAGAAAATGCAGTCTGTTTGAAATTGAAAACCTTGTACAAGAGATGTTGAAATGGCCCATTGGGCAAAGTGCTTAACTCACAAGCCTGAATACCTGAGTTTAGTCCCCAGAACGCAGGTGTAGGAGGAGTTGACTCCATCAAGCTGTCTTCTGACTATCAATGAGCCACAACACACATGCGCTATACACATAACAGTAATGACTTTTTAAAATGCTTATAAAAACTTGCTATGGGAAAACTATTTCAACACCTGTAATAAAAGCCATATGAATTATTGTAATATTTACAACAATGGTACTACAAAAACCACATATACTTAATGGAATGCGTGTTTAAATAAACAAGGAATCTTTAGAAATGCTATCTAGGGAATGAAAGTTAATTTGAGAATGGGCTTTGAAATAGAAGCATTGGTTAGCAGATAGAAGGACAGAAGGTATATATGTAAAATTACTGACTTATATGTAGCTGTGTGCTGGTTTCTCCCCTCCATTGAAACTAATAGATTCAGTCTGTTTCTTCTTACTGTGTTTCTAGCTTCTGAGACTGCAGGACAGACCGCAGGACAATTCCAGCCCCGAACAGCAGAGGGTGTGGGTGTCTGGCCACAGTGGCAGGGTCAGCAGCCCCATCATCGGTCCAGCTCCAGTGAGCAACATGTTCAGCAGACATCAGCACAACCACCTAGCCAGCCTGAGGTCTTTCAGGTGAGAGAGAGGGTCAGGGAAGAGAGATAAAGGACAGAAGGGAAGACAGGTTACATAGTGTCAGTAACTGACATTATGAATTTAAATTATAAACTATTATAAACACACCCACTAACCAGACCAAAGTTACTGATGTGAAGCACTGTGTCAAGATGCTGAAGAAAGTTGCATTAGTTCATGTACAGAGACCCATATCTCAAAGTGGATTTGGATTCAAATAGGAGAATTAAAAGTACTTGAAATAGCATACTGATTATAACTATAAACATCTGTTTTCATCTGAGGGGACTGCAAGATTGAATTCAATAATCTTAAGAGAATAAACTAGTCAAAAACAGACTAAAAAAGGCAAAATAGGGTTTGGTCAGAAATAAATGTGATTAGATATATTTTAGATATGACTGTAGTGTTTAAATGAAAGGTTAGCATGCATATTTTCTTTTTTTGAAAATATCAAGTGGGGGCTGGAGAGATGCTCAGCTGTAAAGAGCACTGGCTGATTTTTCCAGAGGACCCGGGTTCAATTCCCAGCACCAACATGGTGGCTTGCCATTGTCTGTAATGCCATCTCCAGGAGTTCCAACACCTTCACACAGACACACATTCAGGCAACACACTAATGCACATACAGGTAAAAAGACTAGGTAAAAAGAAAATAAAGAAATTATAGGAGGAAGATGGAGAAGAGACTAGGAAAAAGGCTATGAAGTGAGGCTGCTTCTGGTCATGAATGGTAGCACGGGGCAGTGTCGGGGGGAGGGAGACACCATCAAAGTAAGGGTATGTGACTCAAATCTAATCCTTTTCTTCATTAGGAAATGCTGTCCATGCTGGGAGACCAGAGCAACAGCTACAACAATGAAGAGTTTCCTGATCTAACTATGTTCCCCCCCTTTTCAGAATAGAACTGTTGGGGTGAGGATAAGGGTGGGGGGGAAATCACTGTTTGTTTTAAAAGCAAATCTTTTGTAAACAGAATAAAAGTTCCTCTCCCTTCCCTTCCCTCACCCCCGATATGTACCCCTTCATCCCTTGACTCTGGAGTAACATTTGTAGAAGAAATGAATTCCCAGGCTTTTAGGGCCCTCTGTAAATCTGAGGACAGGTGAGGTTAGAAGTCCTGTCCTTATGTCTTCTTACCAGAAGTGTCACAGAAATGATTTGTGCTGGAGACAAGGGGCAAAATAGATGAACCTGACAGCCACTAATTGTCTTGGAGACTGTGGCTTGTTTTGGATAGAAATACTGAATAGAGTGGAGGAGAGGAGAAATATCCTCATAGCTGAGGATCATGAAATATGATAGTATATGTGGAGCTTTCGGAAATGAGCAATCCCCTAGAAAGAAACATGAAAGAGCATGAACGTGTGTGTGTGTGTGTGTGTGTGTGTGTGTGTGCGTGCGAGAGAGAGAGAGAGAGAGAGAGAGAGAGAGAGAGAGAGAGAGAGAGAGAGAGAGAGAGAGAGAGAGAGAGAGAATATATATATTTGAGCTCCTCTGTTTTGTTCTTTCTCCCTATTAGGGAGTTTATGCAAAGTTTGTCCCAGATTTTCTTTGTCTTTCTGCTTGCTCTTCAAAGAGTCCTAAGAAATTAATTTTTCTAGGTATTTTTGTATTTAGTATTGCAGCCAAAGAGTATTTAAATTAAGTCTTTGCTGCACTTACACTCATGCCCAGCCAAAATGGAACTATAAGCCAACATACAGTCTTCTGTTGATAGGGTTGGTCTTCTACAGAGGACATTCAGTGATCAAGCTGGATTACCCTGCTCTTTGGTGCTCTCAATTGATGTGGAAAAATCTACAGATGTTACCAGAATAGGCTGGCCAGATAAACACTGTCAGAAACCCAGACTTGCCCATAGGATAATGCTGCATTTTTCTGTCAGAGTCACACATGTGTTCTGGAGAGGTTATTTCTGCATGGAAACTCAACTTCTTGGATTAGCCATCTGAGGGGAAGTCCTCTCCGACAAGGGAATAAACCAAATAGAAAGCCTCCTGCACATGTCCTCTCCTTGCTGTTGTCAAAACAGCATTTAGGTCTTCCTGAAGTCTATTGTTCTTTGCTCCCTCTCAAACTTAGATTTGGGTTTTGCTTTGGAACTTAATTGTGAGTCTATTTGTTAGTTGGGTCCTGGATTCAAATTCCCACAGGGTCACTTGATAATTACAGCCATAGAAATGCAGATACTGCTTTCAACCTTTACCGTCCTCAGGTACATCTCATATATCAGTAGCCTTTTTTTTCCCCTGACTCCTGTCAGTATCTGAGTGAAAGATTAAGCTAATATGGAAAACATCTATTAAGTGTATTCATAGGGAATGAGGAGCCAGGATGGAGAGGCTCGTGAAGAGGCTGAGGGAGTGTTATGTTCTAAGTAAGCTTCCCTCCATTTGTCTCCAGTCTGGTGCCAGGCAATAGAGTGGAAAAGGAGGCTATTTTTTTATTCTAAGTGCACACATACAGTATACATATATATTTATATCACAATTTACAGAACCAAAAAGTTGAGTTTCCAATGAAATATTTGTTTTTTAATAATCAACTTGTTTTTAAATGTGATCAGAACTATCATGTACAGTTATTACAGGGCTTTTGAAGAAGGGGAGGGAGGGAGAAGCTACTCTGAGGGTTTGTTCTGCTTTTCCTTCAGGGTTTTATTTTTGATTGTTTTTTCTTGTCAGCCATCTGTGCTAAGCCTTACAGTGGCAAAAATAATGTCATGTAGCAAAGATTTTAAAACAAAGTATTTTTTCTTTTATAAAGTTTATTGTGTTGTGTGACCTTGATTGCGGCTTCCTTACCCCTTCCAGCTCCTAAATAACAGACATGCACAACTGAAAGGACCCACAGTGGGGCTCAGACCCATAGCATAAGGCATAGTCGAGTCTGATTTTGGGAATTAGGGATCATAGGGCCCTGATCACTCGGCACCCTGTTCCTTGCGTACTTACCCTCCTGACCCTGACACACCGTGAGTAAAGTCAGTAGGCACACTCTGGTCACAGTGGGAGTGGGGGTTGTCTAACCTATTGCAAGATGCTGGGAAGAGCTCTTGGAATTTGCAGCTCTGGGACATCTGGATGTCTTTCCCTCTGTATTTCCTCCTGACTGCAAGGAGGTAAGGGGATTGTCAACTTCAGACTGTGCAAATGTGGATCTGGGCTTCCTCTACATGCATGGGTTGTTGGTACCTCTTGAAATCCAAAGGCAAGCCTGGACTCTGAGCTGTGTGTGAGGAATCCAGCTAGAAACTGAATCTAGGTTTGAGGCCACACCCTTTCTATTCCAGGATCCCTCATTCTCTAATTCCTCACATCTGTCTATGGAATTTAGAGTCATGGTTGGCTGAGCTAGAGTCTTATGATGTGCCACATGCATGGACTTTGGGGAAGCATTTGAGCTGATCTTGTGACTGGACCTAGTTGGGGATTTTAATGATTGAGATGCAATGCTCATCAGATTCTACCATCTGAGAGTTTAGCGGTGGAGTCACATGTGTATCCGTCAGCCCATCCATTGATATTGATTCAAGGGTTGTAATTGTGGCTTCCTTTCTTAGTACTGTGTTGGGCCATGAGTCGCATAATGTTAGGCAAGCACACCACCACTGAGCTTTGTTCCTCCATCCTCTCTTAACTCTCCTTTTAGAAAGGAGCTCACTAAGTTACCTAGGTTAGTCTTGAACTTGTGAGTCTGCTCTTACTTACTGCATAGAGACAGCATCTCACCGTACAACTTTGACTGACTTCAGTGTCACTCTTAGACTGGGCTGCCCTGTGCCGGGAATGTGGTAAAGGCATGGCCACAGCCAGCTCTGATTTTGCTTTAGCTTCCTGAGTGCCCACACCATCACACTCCCTCAACGTTCTGTTCACTTGTAAACCAGTTCACCCTTTCGGCATAGCCATAATGGGTTAGAACAGCTCCTCCCTGCCCAGAAGCAGTAACGTCAGCCAGCAGTCACAAAACTTTTTAAAATGTTTAAATTGGAGCCTTATATGCGATATATTACTCTTTCTGGTCTTTGGTGTGTCTACACACACACACACACACACACACACACACACACACACACACACACTGTGTGCGCAAGGCTCTGTGGCCCCCGTCATCTCAGAAGAGGATCTGACACAAAAGTTGAAAGTGGTTGGGGTGGGGGTGGGTCATGACTGAAAGGGTAGAAAAGGACGGAATTCTCGAATAAGACGTCCTGAGGAGGGGTGGAGACAATAGTCTGTGTCCTTTCATTTCCTCACAAAGCCTCAATTTGAATAATTTGCTGTTGTATTTTTCCCCCAAAGAGTCAGATGAAACTGAACACTTAGCAGCTCTCTGGACTTTGTGCAAACCTGTGTCCATCCTTCTACCCTAACCCCCCTTTCTCATCCTGTCCCTGCCTCCCTCCCTTATCCGAATTTTCCAGCCACCGCTGGAGTTGACTTCCGCAATCCTGATGGAATAAATGTAGCACCCTTAGTCTTCTGCTCACAGTAGCCACACTTGCTGTCTGAACGGAGCCCAGACAACAGATTCTCAACAGCAGGTAATGTTTTTAACTTCTGGGTCTGTTAGTGTCTTGTTTCTACCAGATACCTTATTTTAAGAAGAGAACGAATATAATGGATTGGGGATCCCTGAATAAAAACAAAGTACTTCTTAGTTCATTTTCAGGCTGAATGTCTGGAAATCCTTAGGATTCTGTGTGATTTTGTATGTGAATAAGTATGTGGTTGTTGATTGAAAGAATAGGATTCTGTGAGCCTGCCTCCAAGTGAATTCTTTCTGCAGCTCTGCTCAACTAAAGGGTTAGCTGACCCTCTCCTGAGGAAGAGGAATAGTTAATGACCACCTCCAAGCCTGTAACATTCTGCTATTAAATCTTCTGCTGGATATTTTGTTGCTTTGCAAAAAGTACATAAAAGTGTAATCAGTGTTGCACAAGTCATATGATGTGCTGGAGACAGGAAGTGGTTTTTAAACTTAAGAATTTGCAATTAAACCAGTGCAAGAAATTAATGAAGCCAGAGCAAATTCCTGAACTGTGAACTTGGTCATTACCGAATATCATCCTTCTGTCCTGCATTTTCCTCTTATACATCTGAGGCTTTTGTCCTGTGAAGCAGCCATGTCTCTGAAAAAATAGAAAAGAAAAAGAAAAAAACATGGCATCTGGTTAAGATTAGAGCCGTTTCCTGCCTAAAGAGTGAGGAAAGGAGAAAATGGATACGGCAAATGAAGATACAGTGAGCATATCATAGATAAATACTGCAAAGTTAGCCCTGTTCTTTCCTGGCAAGTTCTGGTTACAGGCAAAGGAAGAAGAGGGCCGTGAACAAAGCAGGAAGCACACTGGAGCTAGAAGTCTGTCTCTAGGCACATTCACACTGTGCTTACTCTGTCCTCACTGGGGTACTGGGGAGGAGCAGTGCCCAGCCTTTCCCAGCTACCCAGTCTGGCTGTCTGCCGTGGGCTCAGTGTTGTTGGAACGTCTTTGAGTTGGAATAATTGAAATCAGATGTTCCAGCACCCACCCCCACTTCTGCCCAATACTGCTTTATCATGAAAATCGCCTGCAGTTCCTTGTCTAGTTTCCACATACAGTCAGCTTTGCCAGCCTTATAGTTCACAAGAAGGGACTCGGCTAGGCATAGTAACTCATGCCTGTAACCCCAGTGCAGGGTGGGAGAGGGGGCAGACCTTTGGATTCAACGCCATCTTGGTCAACATAGTGAGCTCAAGGCTAGCCAAGACTTAGAGATTACAAAGCAAGACCATGTCTCTAAATTCAAGGAAAGTAAAAGTGTGTGTCCGCGCGTGCATGTAGTTCTTTTGGGTTTATGAATCCTTTAGGAATAATACATGTATGTGTAATTTTCTGGTAGACAGAACTCATTTTTATAGCTCCTAAAAAGTTAAAAGGCACCTTTGTTGTGATTTTGAAAAAGCTACTCGAGAGAAAGACACCATGTGACAGAAAGGGGGGGATGGGATAGGGGGTGGGCAGGGCTCTTTTAAAGGGAACCTAGTGACTAGGCACAGGTGGTGCTCTTAGTGGCAGCAACTGAGGGCGTATCCTGTCAGGACCCCAAAGGCAGGCCAGTACAGATGCCTGATTACTAACAGCCTTCCTGGTAATGTGTTGGCCATCATTTTCACACCCACAGGCTGGCTTAGACTGTGAGCCTCCTGCCAATGGAAGTCTCCCCTAATTACTCCTCTCACAGGATGTGGGTGTTCAAGTTTTTGCTGCTACCCGTGCTGAGCTTCGCTCTGTACCCTGAGGAATTGCTGGATACCCAGTGGGAGCTTTGGAAGAAGACTCACAGGAAGCAGTATAACAGCAAGGTGCCTGGGACCTGCACGGGGAGCCGGGGGGGTGGGGCCAGGGCCGGGGCTTGAGGCCTCTGCTCTCGATGGAAATGCAGTGCTTCACCCCAAACAGGCAGTGCCTGTGTCCTAACTCTCCAGCTGGCTTTACTTTGATGCTGCAGTCCCTCTGTCTGTCTGCAGTTATTACTGGGCACAGGAACATCACCGAGTCCCATACCCAGCACCGCAGATGTGGCTGTGCCGTGTGTATGTGGAAAGCTTTTGGGGAATACTTCTCATAGTAATGTTATTATGCTATGGTCTCTAGAACTTTGCGTACATTTTTGTGTGTGGACTCTTAAGGTTCCATAGTTCCCCAGCTAGATTGTAAACTTTTTTTGGCTATGGTACATTTTTATTCTAAAACCTAGCTATATAGCGGCACACAGTGTATGAATTTATTGACTATTCTATTTAGGTGGATGAAATCTCTCGGCGTTTAATTTGGGAAAAAAACCTGAAGCACATTTCTATCCATAATCTGGAGGCCTCTCTTGGTGTGCATACATATGAACTGGCCATGAATCACTTGGGAGACTTGGTGAGTTGCCTCTGGGACCCAGGCCCACCCACTGCCTTTACCGTGGTCCCTGCTAATGTCTGGCCTCCCGCTTTGTCTCAGACCAGTGAAGAAGTGGTTCAGAAGATGACAGGACTCAAATTACCACCCGCTCACTCCCACAGTAATGACACTCTCTACATCCCAGAGTGGGAAGGCAGAGCCCCGGATGCCATCGACTATCGAAAGAAAGGATATGTTACTCCAGTCAAAAATCAGGTGTGCTTGCTTGTGTGTGTGTAGGTAGTCTGGCCTGAACTGAGGTCTATCTCATGCTACAAGAATATAGCATATTCTGTTATTTAATCTTCACCTATTTTATATATTTAGGTTTTTTTCTGCTTTTAAAAATTTACAGTGTTACAACAAGCATCTTATGTGTATATTTTTGGGCTCATATAGAAATATTTGTGCAAAGTAAATTCTGAAATTGTAATTACTAGGGCACAGAGAATCTTCCTCCCCAGAAGGTTTTTACAATATTAGATTCTTATCTGCAAGAGAATCTGTTTTTCTAGGACCTTAACAGCACAGGACTATGTCGTCAGTAAGATGAATAATTGATATGACATTTATTCTACAAATACTACCTTTCTCCTAGAGCCAAACAAGTAGAGTGCTAGCTACCTGGTAAAGATTCAAGACTTCCTCCTCAAGAACTTCTCATTCTTAAAAAATAGAAAATCTGGGCAAAAAGAAACTTGTGCAAGCACTAATAATAGCTGACGATTTCTGAGAGACCTCTGAGCACAAGGGACTTCTGTGATTTACATGTAAATGAAGTCTCAGTGCTCTCAGGAGTCAGAATCAGTTCATTAACTATAGTATCATTCCCTTTTCTGTTCTCATGTTGCCCAGGCCTACCTCCAACTCAGTAAGTATATGGCTGAGATTGACCTTGAGCTTCTGATCTTCTTGCCTCTGCCTCTCAAATGATAGAATTACAGCTCTCTCTCTCTCTCTCTCTCTCTCTCTCTCTCTCTCTCTCTCTCTCTCTCTCTCTCTCTCTTTCTTTCTCTCTGTCTCTCTCTTTCTCTCTCTCTCTCTCTTCCTCTCTTCCTCTCTCTCTCTTTCTCTCTTTTGGTTTTTCGAGACAGGGTTTCTCTGTATTGCTTTGGAGGCTGGCCTCGAACTCACAGAGATCCTCCTGCCTCTGCCTCCCGAGTGCTGGGATTAAAGGCGTGCGCCACCAATGCCCGGCCTTATTCTCATTTTTAAAGGTAAAGAAACTGGGGCACAGAGCAGTTCAGTAACAAATCAAGGTCACAGAACTAGTGTGCAAAGTCAGGGTTAGACTTCAGGAGAACTGTCTCCAAAGCCATAAAGTACTGTACTTGACTCCAGTTAGAGGAAACAGTTATTACAATCATTATCACTGGGAACAACAACAAGGTTCACAACAAAGCCATCATTTGTGTTGAATTTACAAAATGTGTGGACTTTTTTAGGCTGGTAGAAAGATGCACCCATGTGAAAAGCGATGGTGACAGTTTTTCTGTATGTCTCTCAGGGTGAGTGTGGTTCCTGTTGGGCTTTTAGCTCTGCGGGTGCCCTGGAGGGTCAACTCAAGAAGAAGACTGGCAAACTCTTAAATCTCAGTCCGCAGAATCTTGTGGATTGTGTGTCTGAGAATTACGGCTGTGGAGGCGGCTATATGACCACCGCCTTCCGGTATGTGCAGACGAATGGGGGCATTGACTCTGAGGATGCATATCCATATGTGGGCCAGGTGAGGTGACACCCACGCAGTGTGCAGCCCTGCGCTGGCCCTCCCCAGCATGGCTTTGTTTTGTATCTGCTTTCCTGCCTGCCTGCCTGCCTTTCTTCCCTCCTTCCTCCCTTTCTTCCCTCCCTCCCTCCCTCCCTTTCTTCCCTCCCTCCCTCCCTCCATTCCTTCCCTCCCTCCCTCCCTCCCTCCCTCCCTTCCTCCCTCCCACCTTCCTTCCTGCCTGCCTGCCTTCCCTCCTTCCTTTCCCTCTTCTCTCTCTTTCCTTTCTTCCTCTCTCCCCCTCCCTCTTTCTTTTCTTTTAATTTTAAGACAAAATCTTACTCTATGTCCCAAGCCAGCCTAGCTTGGCCCCCTTTTTTTGAGACAAGATCTCTTATAGTCCATGTTGGCCTTGAACTTATTATGTAGCTACGGATGACCCTGAATTCCTCTTGCCTTGAACTTCCAAGTGCTAGGATCACAGGCCTGGGTCCCACACATGGCTATCCTGCTTTCTTAATAGAATTGTCATAGAAAGCTAAGTTTCCATAATATAGGAAAACTTTGAGCCATCTCTCCAGCCCCATGGAGTTTTTAATGTAGTTGGGTCTTATAGGCAATATAATTATTTTGTGATATGAACCACTGAGAGGGAAACAGCAAGTTTCAGTGATAAAAATGATGGTGAAAGGTGTGTCATCAGTGTAATTTCTTAAAAGGTTGGCTTATCCTTGATATTTAAGGAGATACCACAACATACTCAAATTCCATACTGCAGTCTGTAGCAAAACCAATTATTTTATAAAATGTATTATTGTGTGTATTTGTGTATATGGCACATGTTCATATGTGCAGGTGGGCTTGTGCTACCTTGTACATGTGAAAGCCAGGGAAAACTTGTTGGATTCTCTCCTTCCACCATGGGCTCTAGGATCAAACTCCAGTTACCAGGCTTATTCAGCAAGAGTTTTACCCAGTAAGCCATCTAACCAAATAAGATTTATCTACTAGATCTGCTAATCTCGTGCAGCCATGCACTCATGTAAGACTTTTAGAATATGGTATGTTGCTTTGGAACAGAGTCACCTGGATTTGAAGGCATCTGTATCTTAAAATTTACTGTATAATGTCTAATTGTTTGCCAAAAATTATGACTTCTACCTGAAGTATGTAAGTGACTCACAGTCATGTCTTCAGCAGTGTACTTCCCTGGCCATTTGTATTTCTTCTTGTAAATGCTCCTGAGGCACGCACTGCGAATGCTGTAACCCAGCACATGGAAGGGGGCAGGAGGATCAGGAGGTCAAGGTCATCCTAAGCTACACAGTGAATCTGAATGTAGCCAACCTGAGCTACCAGCTTCCTCTATGCAGGAAAGAAGGGACAAAACACCCAAAACCAAAATAAAATAGTAAAGGAAAGACACTCTGTATAGACTCTAGTCTATTGTCTGTTTATTTACTGACATTACTTAACATATTTCCCAGTCACCAATTAAAGGATATATTTGAGAAAAGTATAAACTAAAGAACTAATTGACAACTTGCATCTTTTTAGATTTATTTTTTATTTTATGTGTAGGAGTGTTTTGCCTGCAAGTATGTACATCATGTATGTGCCTGGTGCCCCCAGAGTTTAGAAGGACATTGAATCCCCTGGAACTGGAGTTATAGATGCTTGTGAACCACCACCTGGGTGCTGGGCACCAAACCTTGGTCCTCTTGATTTCTGAGCTCTCTTTCCAGCCTGGCTTGCATGATTTACCCAGCACTACATTGATCAATTTGTTAAGAAATAGTTTTTTTGTTGTTGTTGTTCTGGGGTTTTGTTTGTTTGTTTGTTTTGAGATTGTGGTCCAGACTGGCCTGGGTGCACACAAACCCAGTCTCTCTGTCTCCTGAGGTGGCTCAAAGTCTGGGCCATGGTAGACCCTGCTATTCTTTGAGTCTATTCACAAGATACTTCATATCATTTGTAGACACGTATTCCATTTGCACAAGATCTCTCTTCTTTTTTTCCCTCCCTCTCTCCCTCCCTTCTTTCCTCCCTCCCTCCCTCCTCTCCTTCTTCCCTCCCTCCCTCCCTCCCTTCCTTCCTTTCCTTCTTTCTTTTGTGAGCTCATGCAGCATCAAGGCTTATCTAGAATTTGAGACCCTCTTGTGTGTAGAGGGAAGTCATGCTGAGATCTCAGGAATGTGCCGTACAGTAATGTCCTGTTGATCTGAGAAGTTTAACACCAGAGTCACGTGGCAGAGAACAAACAGGTTTTGAGAAATTAAGGCAGTAAGTCAATGTAACCTTAGACTATCACATCAAATGCTGACAGTACTTTTGGTATTAAATATGTGTTCTTATAGATACAGCTTTAGGGTGTTAAAGGTTTAGTGTGTAGGAGCAATGTTCCACAAAGAGCACATCACTTTGACAAGACCTTTTATTGTCAGTGAGGCTTGCAAAGCCTGCCTGCTCCTGGACAGTTAGAAGTTAAATTACTTAGTTATCAGTTTATTTTCATGTTATGTTATATACTTATTTCTGTCTCTGATGAAAACATGAGGTCTGACTAAAACTCTTTACCCCATACTAGCATTCCTGAGTTATATACAGAGGGTCAAAACCATCTTTTGAACTGGGCTTGGTGTTGGCAAACTCCCACAGAGCAGCTGGTACCTTCCTGCCCACTGAACCTTACATATACTACATGGGCAGAAGATAATTTGCATTTAAAATAAACCTCTTTGAAAAATCTTTCCCTATCCTGCATTAGCAAAATCAGTCTCTGGAGATGGGAGAGGTAGGACATGCACATGATCCCGGAACATGAGGTAGAGGCCAGAGGGTCGATGGTCAGAGTCATCGCTATATAGCTATGTCCTGAGTTCAGTGCCAGCCTAGGCTGCATGCTACACACTCTCTCTTTTTTTTTTTTTCTTTTTGGTTTTTACGAGACAGAGTTCTGTATTGTTTTGGAGGCTATCGGTCCAACCCAGCCTCGAACTCACAGAGATCCGCCTGCCTCTGCCTCCCGAGTGCTGGGATTAAAGGCGTGCGCCACCACCGCCCGGCATGCTACACACTCTCAACAGGAAAAAGAGGAAGACAGTGATGACAAGGGGCTGGAGAGATGCTGAGTGGTAGAGAAAAAGTCTTTTTCTTTTGGAATTGATTTTTGTGAGTGCTGGAAAGCAGGAAGCACTTGACTTTTTTTCCCCACATTTTTTTGTTTTTAGTTTTTCAGACAGGATCCTACTGTGTAACCCATGCTAACCTTGAATTCATGGCAATCCTCCTGCCTCAGCCTCTTGATTGCTGGGTTTATAAGTGCGTATCACCAAACCTGGCTTCTTTTCAAAGTTTTCTAAAATGGTAAGCCCCAAAGACTAATCCGTTACCTCTAACATTGATTGACTTTCTTACCAACTTATTGCCAGTTGATTAACTGTAGTCCGATTCTACCCTTGATTTTTTTCCAGGATCAAAGTTGTATGTACAACCCAACAGCAAAAGCAGCTAAATGCAGAGGGTACAGAGAGATCCCTGTGGGCAATGAGAAAGCCCTGAAGAGAGCAGTGGCTCGGGTCGGGCCGATCTCTGTGTCAATTGACGCAAGCTTGACATCTTTCCAGTTTTACAGCAGAGGTGAGAGCCTCTTCCTGTGGAGCCCCCTCTGCTGGGATGTGGGTGTGGTCCTGAGAGGCTTGAGTGCTTAGTTTTCGTGGTCAGACGCCATCCGCTAACCCTGGCAGCTGCTGCGGCGCAGGGCATCCCAGTTGTAAGCCCGACTGAGACCGGGGAACACACAGGGCCCCCCAGGAAGCTCATCCGTAGTTTGTTTTGTAGGCGTGTACTATGATGAAAATTGCGACCGCGATAATGTGAACCATGCCGTGTTGGTGGTGGGCTATGGCGTCCAGAAGGGAAACAAGCACTGGATCATTAAAAACAGGTAACAGTGAGAGAGAGCACTACTACCATTTAATCACCTCTGTAACACTGAGCCTCGTCTCCAGTTTCCCAGTCTTTCTTCCAGGTTCATAATTACAAAACTAGCCTGTAATAGATGGACAGTAATGTTTGAAGTATGTGCTGGTAGCTGCACTTTGTGCAAGACGCTTACTTAGCTGCACACAAGCAAGTGTGTGTGTCACTGGCCCTGTGCCCAGTTCAAGCCTAGCATTCCCATTCATCTCAGCCATCTACTCCAAATCTCTCCTGCCACAGAGTAAAGCTAACCAACAACTGTATGTATATACACAATATGAATGCTATAAGTATTTTGTTTTTTAATTAACCACATAGTTTCTAAGCTGGGGATGTGGCTTCGTGACAGATAAAGCTTGTCCCGCATGTGCAATACCCCAGGTTTAGTTCTCAGCGCTGGGGTGAAAAGGAAAGAAGAGGGTGCTAAGGTTGTGGCTTAGTTGGTAGAGTACTTATCTAGCAAGCACAGACTCTTTGGGCTCAATTTACAGCATAACCTAGCATTCCGGTAATCCCAGCACCTAGAGGTAGGGATGATCAGGAGTTGAAGATTGGTGGTGGTGCACACCATTAATCCCGGCACTCAGGAGGCAGAGGCAGGCAGATCTCTGAGTTCAAGGCCAGCCTGGTCTGCAGAGTGGGTTCCAGGGCAGCCAGAGCTTAATAGTGGAAACCTTTTCTCAAAAACAATATGTATATGCGTGTGTTCCTCATGCATATGGGTATTTTGCCTGCATATATGTTTGTTCACCACATTTGTGTAGTGTCCCTTGAAGGCTAGGACGAGGCATTGGATTCCCATGGAACTGGAGTTATAGACCTTTGTAAGCCACCAATATGGGCACTGGGAATTGAAACAGGGTTCTATAGCTAAAATATAATGCTACACAAAATAGGGTGTCCTAAGATATTTTGTTAAGGGAGAAATCACTTAAATGATTTCCGAGAAAGAAAACCGAGAACCAAATGTCGGCACGCTACTCTCACAGAATGCAACCGGAACCCAAAAGAGAGACAGTCTCCTCCCCCTAGCTCTTTTATCTCCCCCTTACGTTTAAGTACTTGTGACCACACCCAAACGAGTGTGGCTGGCACTATGGGTACATAGATCTCTCCCTACAAACAACCCCTTAGATTTACAGGAGAGATCATTCAGCTAGATGTTCTGTTTGTTTTGTTTTGATTTCTTTGACAGGGTCTCCTGTAGCTCAGGTTAGCCTTGAGCTCAGTATAGCCCGGAACTCTTCAACCTTATCTTAATCCACCTCTCCAGATCTGTCTCCCACATCACTTTGTCTTATACCCTGTTTTTTAACCACATTGTCATAACGCATCTCACTTTCCCATCTGTCATCAATTTTACATCCTTCTACCTTCCTCCCATTCCCACAGAGGGTATTCATCCTTCAGGTCTGGTCTCACCTATCCATCGTGTTTTCCTCTTCTTTCACGTCTCCTCCTCCGGAGACAAGGTAATGTAGCTCCTGCTGGCCTGGACTTGCTGTGTAGACCAAGCTAGGATGGAACTCACAGAGCTCCTCCTGCCTCTGCTTCCAGGTGCTGGGATTAAAGGCGTGCAGCAACACACCTGGCAATCTCTACCGTCTTTCAGACCTGTCTTAGTTTCTTCTGTTGCTGTGATAAAGCATTCTGACAAAGTAACCTAAGGAAGAAAAGGCTCATTTCGCAGTTCCAGGGCACCGTCCGTCATGGCAGGGGAGTCCAGGCAGCAGGAGCTTGAAGCTGCTGTCATGGCACAGCCACAGTTGGGAACAGAGAGATGAGCATGATGGATGCATCTGTAGTCCAGGGAATAGTCTCCCACATCAGTTAACATAATCAAGATCATTCCCAAAAGTCCATCTCCCAACTGATTCTAGATTCTGTTAAGTTGACAATTAACACTGTTACAGAACCAACCTGGGTAGCATGCCTTCTTTCCATGACTTTAAACTCCTTCAAAATAAAACCCAAGTGACTCATTTTTTATATAGTTAGTGAATTACAGCGAGCATTTTAAAGACTACGTAAATTAAGATTGTATCTTTCTCAATTGGTTCTACAGCTGGGGAGAAAGCTGGGGAAACAAAGGGTACGTTCTCTTGGCTCGGAACAGAAACAATGCGTGTGGCATTACCACCCTGGCCAGCTTCCCCAAGATGTGATTCCTGCCGGCCAGTTCTACTGTTCTCCCATCCTTCTTGGATGGTGCCGCATATCGGTGTGTTTCGGAGGGAGTTGATCCTGAAGCAGATGTGATGTCTCGAAGACTGCTTACTTTCTCCTCATTGGTGCTGCCATTGGCACCTCTATAACTTTCCTTCTCTCCACCCAAGGCCCTTTTCTCTGTGGATACAACAGGAAATTCTCTGAGAGTTGTAGACTCTTAAGCTAAGGTATCTGGTCACAGAGTCACCTGCTACTGTGCAGATAAACCCTGGAGGTCTCCAGCAGGCTGGGGTGACCTTCCCAAGTCCCTGTCTTCCATATGCTTGAGTGTATATTTGTATTTTCCACCAAGATCCACAAACCTATTCATAATTCTTTGACAAATTCACACAATAAATGTGTGTGCTTTTCTTTCTTTGCATTTAAAATAAAGTATCTCATTCACAATTTAATAAGTTACATTGTATCTATACTCACGTTGGATATGGTGCTAGCCTGCATTTATTAAGTACTTATTATATCATGAGAACTATAAATTTCTGGGATTGAGTGGACCCAAGAAGATTTCTCAATATTTAAAACTGCCATGAAACTTGACACAGTGCACTGTGCCTATGGACCCAGCAGAGGCAGAGGCAGGGGGATCACAGCAATAACTGACATGCATACCTAAACCTTCAAAAATCAGGTTTCCTGGGGTTGTTTAATTTTATTTTTGAGACAGAGTCTCAGCTAGACAAGGCTGTCCTCAAACTCACTATGAACCTGAGATTGACAATGAACTGAACTCCTGGTCAGAGGTTTTTGTTTTGTTTTGTTTTTTAAGAAAAAAAAGCCGGGTGGTGGTGGCGCACACATTTAATCCCAGCACTCGGGAGGCAGAGGCAGGTGGATCTCTGTGAGTTCGAGGCCAGGCTGGACCGACAGCCTCAAAAACAATACAGAGAAACCCTGTCTTGTAAAACCAAAAAAAGAAAAATAAACTAGTCTTATATGTAGCATATGCTGGCCTCAGACTCAAGATCCTCCTGCCTCCACCTCCCAGAGATGGGATTGTAGTGTTGTGCACCACCATGCAGGGTGGAAGATGCCTTAAAATAGTTTTTAGGCTGTATTGCTTCTAGAACAATGGATCTCAGCCTTCCTAATATTGCAAGCCTTTAAAACAGCTTCATGTTATGGTGACCCCCCATCATAAAATTATTTTTGTCGCTACTTCATAATGTAAATATCTGTGTTTTCTGATGGTCTGAGACCCCTGTGGAAGGATCTTTCAACCCCAAAAGGGTTGCAACCCACAGGTTGAGAACCACTGTTCTAGAGGAATAAATTAGCACCACGTGTTTTCCATTTTCCACAAAGTACTGTTATACCATGACAAAGGTTCACAGTTGGCCGGGCTATGGTGGTGCACGCCTTTAATCCCAGCACTCAGGAGGAAAAGGCAGGCAGATCTTTGTGAGTTCAAGGACAGCTCGGTCTACAGAATGAGTTCCAGGACAGCTAGGACTGTTACACAGAGAAACCCTGTCTTGAAAAAAGGGTTCACAGTTACTGAATATTCATTGTTATGCACTCTTGTTTAAAATATTTTTAAATTTAGCCAGTTGGTGGTGGCGCATGCCTTTAATCCCAGTATTCAGGAGGCAGAGGCAGGTGAATTTCTGAGTTCAAGGCCAGCCTGGTCTGTAGATCAAGTTCTAGGACAGCCAGGGCTACATAGAGAACTTTGTCTCAAAACAAAAACCAAAGAAACACAAAAATTTAGTATACATTTTGAATTATTTATTTTATATATATGGGTGTCTTGTCTGCATGTTTGTCTGCCATGTGCATGTCTGGTGTCCACACAGGCCAGAAGAGGGTGTCAGATCTCCTGGGACTGGAGTGTGAATGCTGAAATTCTAACCTTTGGAAGGGAACAGCTAGTGCTCTCTGTAACATGACACATAAAAGACCCAGAGACAGATATTGGGGTTCAACTTCAAGCTGAATATCAGAAAAGCAAAGCAACCTGCCACTAGCTCTCACCTCTAGCTCAGGCTGAAAGAGCTGGTCCATGCATGAGCTCTTATCCAAGTCTCAAACTGCTGCCTCCCCTCAATGTGGCTGGAGAGTGAATGCCTCATACTGAATCCTTGCTCTTGTTTTTATTCTCCACTAGTGCTGGGACTAAAGGTGTGAGATGTAACTCTCTTTTAGACTGATTCAGTCTTGTATAGATCTGGGTGGCCTCGGACTCACAGAGATCTGTCTACCTCTCAATCCTGAGTCCTAGGATTAAAGGTGTGTACCACCATCTCCCAGCTTCTGGCTGCTGGCATTAAAGGTGTGTGCCTGGCTTCTATGGCTTGTGGCTGACTTTGCTTTCTGAATCCTCAGACAAGCTTTAGTAAATTAAATAATACATCACTATAGCTCTCAACCTCCGAGCTGTCTCTCCAGCCCCCATATCATACACTCTTCTTTTGTTCTTGGCAAAACCCTCTTCTACTTTTTTGGCCTTTAGGACATGCCAGGTACATATAGGTAGCATGTGCCTTTAATACATGGACCTCTGTGAGTTTGAAGCCAGCCTGGTTTATGTAGTAAGTTCTGGACAACCAGGCCTATATATAGAGAGACAGTCTCAAAAAACTAAAAACAGAAAGTTTAAAAGCAGGGATGTAGTAGAACATTAATAAATATACACATAGTGTAATAAATACAACCAGTGATTGTGAGGATGAGATGCTGCTCGTACCAACAGAAGTAAGTCATTAATGTATTGGACTTTAGATGGAGGCTTAATGACAGCACACGCGGTGTGTGCGGTGAAAGGCCGCACGCAGCCAAAGGTTCTGGGGGAGCTGCTAAGGCTGGCATGACTCATGCCCAGTACGAAGTACATAGTCAAGAGCAGAGGAGGTGGCTCCCGGGAGTCCGCATGTTCAGTGTGCGCAGAGGCTCACTGGCTTAGTACATACCAGATCTGTAGGTTAGTAATATTCTTCGTGTGAAAAACAAGTGATGAACAAAATGAATAAGCGAGAGACCAGAGGAAGGTCTCGGTGTGGGGCAATATTCCTGGGGACGTACAAGCGTCTCACCCCAGTTAGGGAATTTACAACAGACATGAGTACTGATACCAAAGTCCAACTCGGTGAACCAATGCGTTTTATTGGGGTTACTTAGATGAATAAGGATTATGGGTTACTTACAGGAACATGATTGACTCAAAGGCAGTTGCACCACCAGATCCTACGTCAGAATGGGGGACAGCTCATAAGAACTGAAAGCGCAGAGCTCACTGCTCAGAATGTTGGAGGCTCTCCAGGTGGCTCAGCTTGTCTGAGTGTCTGCAGATCCGCCTGCCTCTGCCTCCCCAGTGCTGGGATTAAAGGCGTGCACCATCAACGCCCGGCTGCCTGGTCTACTTTTAGTTATATGGGCATTATTGAAACTGTGAGCTCTGTGATACTTTCATGTTGTTCATGTTTGACTGCAGTGTCATTGGAAAGCTTCCTTGAGTCAAGGCTTCATATTTACAGTCCACTTCAGTAATCCAGTAATGAGTCCTTCCCTTTGGTATTTTAAAATGGTTTTAAAGTGTTTATTTCCTGAGACTCTTTAAAAAGACTTGTTTTTATTTTATTTTAGTGGGGAAAGGAGAGAGGGGAGGGAGTGCAGCGCCCTCAGAGGCTAGAAGGGGACACAAGATCTCCTAGAGCTTGAATTACAGGCATTTGTGAACCACCAACCTGATCGTAGAAACTGGGATCCAAACTCTGATAAAGTAATAAGCCCCTTCTGCTAAACCATCCTTCAGCCCCCAGAAGCAATTTCTGTGGATAAATTATCTTTTTATTTTAACATAGGCTCCCACTCTAGCTTAGACTGGCCTGCATCAAACTTGTGGTGATCCTCCTGCCTCAGCTCCCCCAGTGCTGGGATTATAGGCATGCACTATGATGTCTGGTCTATAGAATGAAGGTGCTGGGATCTTTGTGTGGATGAAAGACCTTATATATAGGAAATTCACTGAAAAACAATCAGAACTAATGAAATGAGCTCGACATAGTTGTGGAACACAAAATCAAGATATAAAAGTCAGTCAGGTGTAGTGGAATACATCTCTAATCCCAGCATTTTAGAGGCAGAGGCAGGCAGATCTTGGTGAGTTTGAGGCCAGCCTGGTTTACAGAGTGAGTTCCAGGACAGTCAGAGCTGTTACACAGGGAAACCCTGTCTCAAATGGAAGGGTTTAAACTTTTTCATTTTTACAACTCAGTTCTCTGAGAAGGGCAAACAGGTGTCTCTCCTAACAAAAGGCCATTTGTCAACCAATTACATTCAGGGATGAGTGAGAGAGTATGAACAAGGCCAGAGTCAGCCCCACAGTGTCTCAAGGGCAGTTCCTGCAACCCCTTGAAACTTCCCAGCTGTGTCCAGAGAGAACCCTCAGCCGAGTAGAACACTAATGTAACTGCTGCTTGCTTATCCAGTTATGTTTGAGGTCGCCTAACCGCCCCTGAGATTCCCCAGCTGTGTGTGCTTAAAAGGAGCCTGCACACCCCTCTACCTGCCACTCTCCAAGAACAAAGGACAACAAACAAATGGAAGGGTGTGACTTGAATTATCAGTGACTTGATGATTTCACTCTAAGATACAGATCCAAAAGGAAGCAATAATTCAGACAGAGTTGAACACCTGTATTTTAGGGGCATTTAGCAAAAATAATAATCAGAATAACACAAGGAGCCATCAGACAGAAGTGATCAATAAATAGGTAAACTGCTATTCCAGACACTAAAGTCACTGTTACCCAGTCATGACAAATGCTGAGCTGTCACACACACCTACATTCCCAGCACTGGAGCTGGGGCTAGCCTGAGCTATTTAGCAAGATCCAGTCTCAAACAGAGAAATGCTGCTATGTTCTGTCATGTGTCTGAACCTTGAAAACAAGTGAAGTGAGCCAAGCAAAGCGTTCCATGCTGTGCTTCCACACACAGGAGACATGAAGCAGAGTAGAACCCACAGGGTTGGGGCCCAGTGGAGTTCACGGCTCCTGCTTAACAGGAATGCAGGAGGTGGGAGGATTCAAAGAGGGAGGCGCACTGCCCTGCTCTCAACCCCCCCCCCTTGGAGTATAGGCGCACTCCGCCACAGCACTCATTACCACATAAATTAATGCGATGTTTATCAAAGAGTCTCTTAGCGGACTACGAATTAAAATTGTCCTATTTCTTTATACGCTATACGCTGAGTATGGGTGGCTGAATATTTCTTTACACTGTAAAGATGTGTCTTTGCCTTGGCACCTTCTGATTGGTTTAAGAAAGAGCTGAATGGCGATAGCTAGGCAGAAAGAAGGTTGGGTGGGACTTCCAGGGGAGAGAGGACTCTGGGAAGAAGAAAGGCAGGGCTACCAGCCATACCCAGAGGAAGCAGGATAGGCAGGATGGACGTG